GGGAAATTTTACTTCGTAAGTTCCACTGCTGGCAGTCATAAAAAAATGAACTCAAAAATAATTGTGATGTTTAGGAAAATGTTACTGAAAATGAAACCTGAAATGGCTTAGTAATTAGTTTCCATTAGAAATGAATAAAAACCACATAACAGAAGTAATTTAACACATACCAAGTGAAGATTCTTGAAATTTTGTAATACTCAGGAGTATTTTTAAAGTATATTTTTGAGATTTACATAATGTCAAAAATCTATTTCCTACAATAGGTGGGAGAGTGAATGTGATAGAAAAGGAGATATACTTCAAATGCAAGTATGAAAATAGAATAATGTACCGGATACCAGTGGCACAGGCCTGTAATCCTAGCTTTTCAGGAAGCTGAGATTAAAGGATCATGGTTCAAAGCCAGCCTGGGCAGAAGAGTCTCTAAGCCTATCTACAGTTAACCACTAGGACACCAAAAATGGCACTGTGGCTCAAAGTGGTAGAGCATTAGCCTTAAGCAAAAGAGCTCAGGGACAGCACTCAGGCTGAGTTCAAACCCCACAACTGGCAAAAAGAAAGAAAGAAAGAAACCCCTAAAAACTGGCTTAAAAAGAGGGAAAGGTATCAGCGTGTAATAGAGCAAGTGAAATTGATTAAAGTACATTATATACATGTATGGAAATACCACAATAAGACTCATTTGTACAATAAATATTAATATACTAAATTAAAAATATAAAAGCCCATTTTTTCTCATAAGGTACTGATGAACCTTATGACAACCTATCCAAAACTTTATAAAGATTTGATTTTAATTTAAAAATCTATTTTTAAAAACTTAAACTCTTACTAACTTCATAAGCAAACTTTTTTCCAGATGACCAGAAATCAAAATAATTTTCTTTCATCATGAAGAATTTCCAACGTACACAAAAGTAAAAGTATATTGGACCAAAGCTTCAATGGTTATTTAACAATGATACACAATCTTTCTCCTACAAACCTGTTCCCAACATGAAGCATTCCCAAACAATCTAAGGTAGATTTACCAAACAAAATTACTTGAACTGAATCTTTTTTTTTTTGGTCCATCGTTGGGCTTGAACTCAAGGATTGGGGCACTGTCCCTGCGTTCTTCAGCTCAAGGCTAGTACTCTACTGCTTGAGACACAGCGTCACTTCCGGTTTTCTAGTGGTTTATTGGAGATAAGAGTCTCACGGACTTTGCTGCCCGGGCAGGCTTTGAACCGCGATCCTCAGATCTCAGCCTCCTGAGTAGCTAGGATTACAGGCGTGAGCTACCAGCGCCCGTTTGAAGTGAATCTTTTTAAAGTTATATTCCCCATGACTAAAATGTATTGCAGGGAAAATGGCCTGATAATTTAGGTAGGAGGGAAGGTAGGTATTCTAGACAGATAGCTTCCACTGAAAGTTAATAGTCTATGTAGGATGGGAGGAAACCGGAAACCAGGGGATTGTTGTTTGCTACAGTGGGTCTCATAAATGAACACATTTATTTATAACTTTGGCGGGGGGGGGGGGGTGTCATGACGAGGTAGAGGGGGTGGGAGATGGGAAGGAATGGGAAGGGGAACACAAAGGAGGAGGTTACAATGCTTGATAAGAAATGTACTCATTATCTTGCCCATGTATTTGTAACCCCTCTGTACAGTATTTTCACAATTAAAAAAAAAATAAAATAAATGAACACGTATGATATATATATTTTTTTCTTTTTGGTCAGCCATGGGGCTTGAACTCAGCCCCTGGGTGCATGTCCATGAGCTTCTTCATGCTCAAGGCTAGTGCTCTACCATTTGAATCACATGGCCATGTCCAGCTTTTTCTCTTATTGAAGAGTCTCATGGACTTTTCTGCCAGGTCTGGTTTTGAACTGCAATCCTTAGATCTCAGCCTCTTGAGTAGCTAGGATGATAAGTGTATACCACGAGTGCCCAGCTGTCTATTAAAAACTTTGTATTAGGGGCTGGGAAAGTGGCTCAGTGGTAGAGTGCTTCCTTTGCATGCCTGAGGCCCTGGGTTCGATTCCTCAGCACCACATAAGCAGAAAAACCTGGCAGTTTTGCTGTGGCTCAAGTGGTAGAGCTGAGGAACAGTGCCCAGGCCCAGAGTTCAGGCCCCACAACCAACCGAAAAACAAAAACAAAAAACAAAAAGAAAAACAAAAAACAGAACAAAAACCCTAAAACTTTGTATTATAAATGGAAATGCAATATGCTTCTAAGAGGGTGCATATAAAATAGATTAACCCTGTCCCACATTTAATGTCCCACTCACTCTCCCTAATGATGGATGTTATTTAGAGATTTATATCTAAATAATTTTGTTCACTTTTTTATCATAATTTGTTTATAATTTATTGGCAAATATAATTAAAAGGTTACACTTTAATGATAGACTCTAAGGAAATCAAAGACGTTTTAAATTTGCAGCTTTTGAATTTCAAAAGTAAAATATTCAGTATTTTTGTCTGCTCTTAAGACAAATCCCACAATTAGTTTTGAGAGAACATAAGTACAGCATAAAAATGAATTCTAAGGCTGTGAAAGTGTCTCAGTGGTAGAGTGCTTGCCTTGCATGCATGGGGCCCTGGGTTCAATTCCTCAGTACACATAAGCAGAAAAAAACCAGAAGTGGTGCTATGGCTCAAGTGTTAGAGCACTAACTTTGAGCTTAAGAGCTGAGGGACAGAACCCAGGGCCAGAGTTCAGGCCCCAGGACTGACCAAAAAAAAAAAGAAAGAATTCTAATTCATTCTTTGCTATGGAAATTACCCAGATTTCTACTTTTGGTATAACAGACTCTACATCAGGAAGTAGAGGATGTATAAAGTCATGGTGCCTTTTCTTCTTCTTCCACTAATTTTAACTAGGTGTAAATTGGTTAACAGTAGGGGGAAATGCTATTTTTGTAGCTTCAAGAGCACCTAAAGAGGTGATGAATAAAAATACATAAAAAATATACATCGACCCATCTCTAGTACAGAATGATTAAAACATTGAATGCTGTTCTTGGGATTTTGGTTGTTTTGTACCAGTACTGGGGCTTGAACTCAGGGCCTTGGCACTGTTCCTTAGCATTTTGCTCATGTCTAGAGCTGTACCTCACTTGAGTCACAGCTTCACTTTGGTTTTTGGTGGTGAACTGAAGAGTCTCATAGAATTTCCTACTCATACTGGCTTTGGATCTTGATTCTCAGATCTCAGCCTCCAGAGCAGCTTGGATTATATGTGTGTACCACTTGGTGTCCAGCATCCTTTGGTTTTTTAATTTCCAGAAAAGCTATTTGTTTTTTTAGGTGGCAGCTGTCTCCAAGGATCACTGCAAATTTCTGCAGCAGGTTATTTACCTCACCACATCTAAAAAAGGACTAGGGATCATTGTTTTATTATTAGAGAATAATAACTGTAACATGTAAACAAAGAGGTATATATTTGTATGATTTAAACTATAAATATTGAAGATTTCATTTGACAACAGTAGATGAATCTATTTATAAACACTGACTTCAGATTATGGATAATGATAATCATTTGATTAAACTGCACCAACTAGTAATGACATTTGAAATAAATCAGCTGCCTTAGCAGTCATATTTGTCTCAAAACCAGCCAAATTCCAGACCCACTTTCTCAAGACAGACTACTATCTTCTCCCTTCCATCATATTCCTTGGATGGTATTTAGTGAGCCAGCCACAGATAAATATAAAGAAACGTTTGTAAGAGTCAAAAGACAGCTGGAGAGAAAAGGGTGTCAGTGGCTCCCATCTGTAAATTCTAGGTAATCAGAAAGCTGAGATCTGAGGCTTACTCTTTGAAGCCAACCTGGACAGAAAAGTCTGTGAAACCCTTATGTCCAATAAACAACCCCACCAACAAAGAAAGCTGGAAGGGGAGCTCTGACTCAAGTAGTAGAATGCTATCCTTGAGCAAAAGAAGCTCAGGTACAGAGTCTAGGCATTAAGTTCAAAGCCCAGGACTAGAATAAAAAGTTACAAAGAGATTATTCCATATTATAACCTTAACCAAAAACATTATATAAAACAAACTATAGGAAGGACAAAATGACACCCTAGAGGGTTAAACGAAATATTAAGATATTAGCATACACACAGTTGGCATTTTTTGGTGGTACTGAAATTTGAACTCAGGTCCTCATGCTTGTTAGGCATGTATACTACCATTGAGCCACACCTCTCACCCCTATACAGAGTTTGGCTGTTGGAAAGATAAGTGTATTATCATGATCATCCATTAAATTTTTCAGATGTCAATTGGTAGATGAAGGCATTCTTAAATTCAAGGATATAAAACAACAACTACTACAACAAATGGTGAGTAATGTGTCTATTACGAATCAGAATCCTGTAAGTAGTTTGATGATCTATTTGGGAATCATTGTCAATCATGTTGAGGCTAGAGGACTGAAAGGATGTACCTTCTCTACAAAGTATTACACTTTATTACTATTCAAGCACCTCAAGAAATAGGTCTAAAATAGTTTCTTTTACCTGGGGAAAAACTGCAAAGTGAAAAAAGATAGACTGCTTCACAAGTATAAATGTGGGTTTTTTTGATAGCTGAAAGATAAAGGCAAAAAAGAATGATAAAATATGTTTCACAGGAAGTCAGAGTTGTCAAGCCTTGAGAGATTTTAACTAGAATAGAAAAATTTACAAGATATGAACAACTTTTGGAAGTATGACACATTGAGAAAGTCTATGTTAAAGTTCTATAAGAGGGTAGTAACTTTTTTTAAATAAAAAACAAAAACAAAACCAGAAATACAGCATGGTACTATGTATTTGCAATGACCTGAGATTCAAAACATTTCAAGTGGTCCTGCAAATAAATACTCTCCTCTAGTTCAATCTTTAAATTCTTATTTTTTTGCAACCAAAATCACAGAGAAAACATTTTGAAACAAATGTCTGGTAGTATATGCTTTGCTACCATGAAAATGAAGAAAAGAAGAAAATCACAGTCATTTATGGCAATTTTAAATGCTAGTTTTTATTTACTGGTAATTGTGCAAAAGACACCAATTTAATACTGCACAGAAAAACAATCATGTAAATCAAAAATTAAGCAGTAAATATGGAATAAATTTTAAACCGAGCACCATGTTCCTTCAAAACTGATATCACAGAATACAACTCCAGTCATATAATTAAAATAAATCTGGAGAACTCTCTCAGTTAATATTTAGTACCTAGAATCAAAGGCTTCTATGCTTTGATGCTTTACTTTCCAGGAAAGTAGAAATAATTCTAATTTTGAGCAAAATAATACACTCAAAATAACAAAGGAAATAATTGGTATAATTTATTCCATTTGTCAATTGGCATCATCAACTAATACAATGTTGACAAGCTGGCTGATAGAAAAATAATAATATAAGGCTAGTTATACATCCTTCTCAATTTTCTTATTCAAAAACTCAAAAGTAACATTCTTCATTTTAAAGGACTACTTTAAATTTAAAAATCTTAAAGGCAGATACAAGAGAGTAAGCACTTTTACCACCAAAATTACTTACATAGGAGACCTTAAGAAAAAAATATAGCAATCAAAAGGCAGTGCAATAATGCTTCATACTGCTGAATCTTACATATTCTGAGGTATGTAATGAGAAGCCAAGTGAGGTGAAGCCGTATAGCCAACTGGGACAGGACTTATAGCACCATGGATTTGCGAAGAACCACCATATGTTGCACCAACAGGATGCCAGTTGGTAACATAGGGATAATCTGGCACAACAGGAAAGCAGGAATCAAAACCTGGCAAAGGGGGTTGTCCATAATGATCTGACATTACTGGATAATAGACTGTTCCATGAGGGATAGATACAGGGTCAGCATTTGGAATAATATCTGAAACAAAAAATGAATACAATATATTATACAAAAATGTACTAGCAATTAAATGGAAACTCTTACAAGTAAAAATTAAAAATTACTAATTGTGAGATCACAGAAACTAAAGCAGAAACACATCAGATATATGCAATAGTCTCTACAATGACCTACCGAAAGATTACATGAAAATATCCAAATAAAAAAGCTTATGTGCTGGACACTGATGGCTCATGCTTGTAATCCTAGGTACTCAGTCGGCTGAGTTCTGAAGATCACAGTTTCAAAACCAGCCCAGGAATGTAAAGTCTGTGAGACTCTTATCTCCAATTAACCAGAAAACAGGAAGTGGCACTGTGGCTCAAGTGGTAGAGCGCTGTCCTTGAGCTGAAGAGCAATGCCCAAGCCCAGAGTTCAAGCCTTATGACCACCACCACCAACAAAAAAAGCTTATGTTGTTTATATATAAGCAAAAATGCATAAATATTCTCCACTATTGTTCTAGTAATCTAGTTGACTAAAATCTTAGAAGAGGTGGCTATAGTTATTACCTTATTGTTCTACAGTATTAGCACATAAACTCTAAATAGTTAATTTTGTACCACTTTAGCAATGACAAAATTCCCAAGTAGCTATACCATTTGGTCTATATTCGAAAAGAAAGTTCTGAAAAATTCCTAAAGGATCTTCTCACAAGTGTTACCCTAGCATCAAATTGGGCACTGGTGGCACTCTATAATCCTAGATACTAAGTACACTGGTATCTGGAGGATCACAGTCCTCCTGTTCAGCCAGGCAGAAAAGATTCCATCTCCAAATAATAAGAAAAAAAAGAAAAAAGGCAAAGTTAGAGGCATGGTTCAATTGGAAGAGCTCAAAACGAGCAACCAAGTCAAACAAGTAGAAGGGCTCTGAGCTCAACATCTAGTACTACCCAAAAAAAACCCTATCATGTTAATTTTGTATCAGATTTTCTGCCACAAATCACTTTTGGTGGAAAAAGATGTTATTCTGACTTTACTATATTGACTATACAAACTAATCAAAAAGGAATCTTTCATTACTTAGGCTAACATAGGCTAATATTTTGTAAAATTAAAAGTGCTAGTCTCTGTTTTCTATAATTATAAACAGCTCTAAAAAAGGTACATTGTAGCTGGGTACCAGTGCTCAAGCCTGTAATCCTAGCTACATAGAGGCAGCGACACATCTGAGGATTGTAGTCCAATATCAGCTAGGGAAAAATCCCAAGAGCTTTTTCTAAGTAACTAGTAAAAAGCCAGATGTGGAGATGTTTCACACTGGTAGAGTACTAGCCTTGAGAAGAAAAAAAAAAGGTCAAGGCACTGAGGTTGGCACACGGGAAAAAATAAACAAAAAAAGATAAACTGTACAAAAATATAATGAAGATTAACATTTTTATTACCACTTCACACCAGCACACTAGGGATAACAGCATCTAAGACTAGTAACATCTGCAAACTACTAACATGATTTAAAGAGGGAAGAAGAATATAAATCAGCATTCCTAGTATGGCACTAGGACTAGTATACATGAGGCTTTCAAACAGATTTTTTAAGCACTTGTACTTTTACTATTTTTAGTTCAAGATACAAACCATATGTCAGTTTATGAATACACTCATCTAGATCAATTTCCTATTTCCTATTCCTATTCTATCAGTTTTAGGGAGAATGAGTAAGTAGCCAAAATCACCAACAGTGAGTAGCAATGCTGGAATGTGAAACAAATTTGGTTACTTCTTACCATTTCTTCTACCTTACACTTCTTTTTAAGAAGGGAAATTCAAAGATTCTACTCTAAATTCATCCAAATACTTCCTCATTCTATTATACTGTGAACACATATTATAAAGTTTTTGATCTCATAATCCCTTTACACTTAAAAAGTTGATAATACCAAATAGCTTTCGTTTATGTAAGATATAGTTAATATTTACTGTTAGGAATTTAAATGAGAGGTAAAATAGCAATCCATATAGCAGGCATATTACATGCTAACATTTTAAATAAAATTAAGCACTTCCAAAACAACAAAACAAGGAAGAGTATGATTATGCTGTGCCTGTACAAATTTCTAAAGCATGACTAAATAGAAGATACCAGGATTCCCATAGAGCTCCTGTTATTTAATCTACTGTATATTGTTTTAAAGTATATGAAGAAATCTGGCCACATACAGCTAAGTTATCAGCGATGATGTTGAGGTTTTTTTTTTAATAATAAAGCTTTTCAGGTAATTGAAGATATTCTTTGGTGCTTCACAAAAAGAACAGAAGTGGTAGTTTTTCTAAGACCCGTAGCAATGTGGACTTTCTATATTCTGTTACATTAAAATTATTATTGGAAGTAGAACTGTAGTAGAGTACTAGCCTTGAGCAAAAGAGCTCAGGGACAGTCCCCAGAGGCCCTAAGTTCAAGCCCCATAGGTGACCAAAAAAATCAATTATTATGTGCTTGAGATAGTTCTTCTACAAAATTGGAGGTGGCTAACATCATACATGGGTAATTGGGAACATTTAAGCTATGCAGATCTTGCAAATGTGGGCATATTTCACTATACAATTTAAAAAACCTACATTGACTAATAGTCCCACCTAGCTAAAACTCTTCTAATGGGTTTCACATACTGGGTGCTGATAAGCTCATGATAGCATACTTGTTTACCCCAAACTCAAATTTCTATTAGAAATATGTAACGTTCTTTGATAACAAGTATTACTAGATGCTTTTCCTTAAGTGACAGGCTCATTTTCTTCATTTGAGAAAATGATGGGTGGAACAACTATGTCTGAAAAGCTAGTTTGTCTATCACTCATTCTTTCAAGTAAAAAAGTATTCTATGCAGTTAGCTAGTAATTCAGTAATACACGTCATTTTCTTTAAATTTATCATCGCATTTTTGTTTGTAGAAGTGTTTTATGAGGTGTTCCCATTTTATTACAAAGAGTATAATACACAATTGCTTAAGGACAAAGATTTATTGAAAAGAACACCTCTCTAGGAGCTGATGGCTCATGCCTACAATCCTACCTCCTCAGGAGGCTGAGATCTGAGGACTGTTGTTCAAGGCCAGTCCTGGCAGGAAAATCTATAGGACGCTTATCTAATCCACTAAACTACCAAAAAAGCAAAAAAATGGGCTGGGAAGGAGCTCAGTAGTAGAGTCCTTGCCTTGCATGCATAAAGTCCTGGGTTCGATTCCTCAGTACCACATAAGCACAAAAAAAAAAAAAGCCTGAAGTGGCACTGCGGCTCAAGTGGTAGAGTGCTAGCCTTGAGGTGAAGAGTTGAGTGACAGCACCCAGGCCCACAGTCAGGCCCCACAATCAACAAAAAAAGGGGAAAAAAAAGCAAAGAAGTGAAGCTGTGGCTTTCTCAAGTGGTAGTGGTATCATTGAGCAAAAGAAGCTCAGGGAAAGCTCAGGCACTTTATGTAAAGCACAAGGACTGGCACCTCCACCAACCAAAAGAACATCTCTGATGAATCAAAAAGATAAATTGCTATTTGACACATTATGATGATGATGATGATGATGATGATGATGATGATGATGATGGTGGTGGTGGTGGTGGTGGTAGTGATGGTGATGATGTGAGTCCTGGGGCTTGAACTCAGGGCCTGGGCACTGTCCCTGAGCTTCTTTTGCTCAAGGCTAGCACTATATCACTTAAGCCACATTGCTACATCCAGCTTTTTCTGTTTATGTGGTACTGAGAAATCGAACCCAGGGCTTCATGGATGCTAGGCAAGTTCTCTACCACTAAGCCACATTCCCAGCCCCAATATTTGACATTTTTGTACTAAAAGTTCATGGCAATGAGAAAGATAACGATTACTAGCATAGTCTGATGGAATTACTCCAATTTGTTGTTAGGTAACAATAGTGTGAATCACCAATAATCTTTACATCTGAATGCAAATGTAAGGCAGTGAAAGGAAACAAAATCGAAGTATTAATGTGAATACTTCTGGCCTCATGAATCCCTTTAAAGAGTTTCACAAACCCCAAAGGAACCAGAAATCATGCTTTCAGAATTGCTAGACTAAGTATATAGATCTAATCAAACATCTGAAGGCTATAATTAAATTGTACACAATAAAATTCAATTGCCTTTCTTCCTGGCAATCTCATTTGATACTCACCATTTGTTGATGCTTCTGCCTGTGTACCATCTGCTATCTCTACCTCATTGTACAAGTGAGGAGCAGTTTGGTCTACCAGAGGTGACTCAGAACAAATTGGAAGATTGTCTACATGAAGTTGCTGTGGCTGCATTTGTGGCATGTAGAACATGGAATGCCAGTAGTTGTGGTGATAGCACTGGAGCAAGAAAGGAAAATGACATAAACAAATGAACACTTAATTGTAAACCTTGCTACTCATGATTGGGAGGATCATGACTTGAAGGAAGCCCAGAAAGAATTCTGGGAGATTCCATCTCAAATAGAACCAATAGAAAAAAAGCCTTTTCATTTAGATAAACATCATTTTATATGATCATTTGTGCACAGCTACTGAACCTTCGTGATCTTCTCCTAAGAATATACTACCATAGTTTCACTATGTGACTGTTTAAAGTCCAGTATGATTTATCATGCCCAAGTGTATTTTTTGTCTTTTACATTCCAGTATGTTTACTTGTACATTTAAAGGTACTTTCTAATTACAACAAATGAGGGTACACATGCAGCCTATGTTTCTTTGGGTCTGCCTTAGTTAATGTAATTTTTTACAAGTCTTTCCATTTCTTTTTTTTTTGGGGGTCCGGTCATGTGACTGAACTCTGGGCCTGGGCGCTGTCCCTCAGCTCTTCAGCTCAAGGCTAGTGCTCTACCACTTGAGCCACAGCGCCACTTCAGCTTTTTTCCTTTTTGCTTATGTGGTGCTGGGGAATCGAACCCGGGGCCTCATGCATGCAAGGCAAGCACTCTACCACTAAGTCACCTTCCCAGCCCTCCATTTCTTTAAGAATGGTACAATATCATTCTTTCTGATGGAAGCACAGAATCCACTGTGTATATGTGGTATGTGTGTGTGTATATATATATATATATGTGTGTGTGTATATATATATATACATATATATATGTATATATATATATATACACACACACACATACACATATTATTCTTAATCCATTCATCTATTGAGGGGCATCTGGGTTGAATCCATATCTATGCTATGGTAAAAAAAAAATGCATGGGGCTGGGAAGGTGGCTCAGTGGTAGAGCGCTTACCTTGCATGCCTGAGGCCCTGGGTTCGATTCCTCAGCACCACATAAGCAAAAAGAAAAAAGCCAGAAGTGGCACCGTGGCTCAAGTGGTAGAGCGCTAGCCTTGAGCTGAAGAGCTGAGGGACAGCGCCCAGGCCAAGAGTTCAGGCCCCACGACCTGACCACCCCCCCCCCAAAAATGCTGCAATTATTGATAAGAAATGTACTCATTATCTTGCCCGTGTAATTGTAACCCCTCTGTACAGTATTTTCACAATAAAAAAAAATGCTGCAATGAACACAGTGGTGCTGGCAACTTTAGTGTGGCCTTGTTAGTGGTCTATTGGATACATTCCCAGGAGTGAAACTGATGGGTCACAGACAAGCTCCAAGAAATGGAAACAAGAGGCCATATGTTATTTTGGTTCTTGTTTTCTTCCCCCCTCCTTCCTTGGTTGTTGTATTTTTTTTTTATTTCTGTACCTTTTGTCTTATATGTAAGTTTAACTGTTTGGGGGAGCATAAGGGTGAGCACAGAAATGGCGGGACAAAGGATGAACAAATGTAGCACTGATACTCACTAGACATTATGTTGAAAATGAAACTATTCAACTTGTAGGGAAGGGAGGTTCAGGAGGGGAAAGCGTGGAAAAAACGAAGGAAGGAAAAAGAAGAAGGAAGAAATGTACTCATTACCTAACCTATGTAACCGTAGCCCCTCTGTACATCACCTTTACAATAACAGTAAAATTAAATTTTTTTAAGAAAAAAAAAAATCTAGCAGAGAGCCGGTGACTCACGCCTGAAATCCTAGCTACTCAGGAGGCTGAGGTCTGAGGATCATGGTTCAAAGCCAGCCTGGGCAGGAAAGTCCATGAGACTATTATCTACAATTAACCACCAGAAACCTGAAGTGGCTCTGTGGCTCAAGTGGTAGAATGCTAGCCCTGAGCTGAAGAGCTGAGGGACAGTGCCCAGGCTCAGAGTTCAAAAAAAAAGAAGTGACAGAGTGGTAGCTGAACAAACACTAGGTTCTGAGTTCAAACTTCAGTACCAGCAGAAAAAAACTGGGCTTCACTTTTCAGATGCTTGTATTAACATTTATAAATTTGCTTTCTATTAGAACTTTGGGAACTTTTGTAGTATGTGTATCTCATATTTAGACTTAGGAATTCATTTAGAGGGGCTGGAAAGGTGGCTCAGTGGTAGAGTGCTTGCTTTGCACACATGAGGCCCTGGGTTCAATTCCTCAGCACCATATAAGCAGAAAAAGTCAGAAGTGGCACTGTGGCTTAAGTGGTAGAGTGCTAGTCTTGAGCTGAAGAGCTGAGGGACAGAGTTCAGGTCCCACAACCGACAAAAATAAATAGTTTTTAAAAAAAAGGAATTCATTTAGAAAAGCATGCTAAATTAATGATATACATAGAAAGCTGTCAACAAAGATATTAGTTATACCATTATTTGTTATTACTACAAACCTGGGATTTGACATCAGGGCTTTTCACAAGCTAGACATACCCTCAGGTCTTTTTTTTTTTTTTTTTTTTTTAACTTTTCAGAGAAGGTCTTGCATTTTTGTATAGGTCAGTCTTGGACCAAGATCCTTCTACTGTGCCTCCCAGTAGTTGTGATAACAGCTATGTGCTACCATATCTAACTAATTTACTGGGATCTAGACTTGTTAACTATTTATCTGGGAGGTCCTTGAACCATGATCCCTTGATTTCTGTTTCCTACCAGGTAATACCGTTGTGAGCCACTGAACCTGGCTATACATTATTTTTAAAAGCAAACACTGAACAACTCAGTATTCAACAATAGGGAACTGTATGAATAAGTTATTATATACCCATAATGGAATAGTAAATCAGAAAAAAAATAAGAGGCCTAAAATATTTAAAGAAAAGTGTGCCAGTATTAAGTTAAATGATTAGAAATTATGTACTATATTCCATATTTTAAAACAAAAAATAGAAAACTAAAAGGAAATATATCACATAAAGTACTTATACTGAAGATTTTTAGGTTCTTTATACCTTCATAAACACTATTACTTTTTTTGGGGGGTCCGGTCGTGGGGCCTGAACTGTGGGCCTGGGCACTGTCCCTCAGCTCTTCAGCTCAAGGCTAGCGCTCTACCACTGGAGCCACAGCGCCACTTCCGGCTTTTTTTGCTTATGTGGTGCTGAGGAATCGAACCCAGGGCCTCAGGCTTGCAAGGCAAGTGCTCTACCACTGAGCCACCTTCCCAGCCCAACACTATTACTTTTAATTCAAAAACTGATTAAAATATTATACATTACATTGTCTGGTATTTCTAGGATGTTTAAAAAGCAGAAAATTTTTCTTGAGATGAGATCTCACTATGTTGTCCCCTACAACTTGTGGGGTCAGGTGATCCACCTCTATAAGCCTCCTGAGTAGCTATGACTATAGTCATGCTCTACTGTGTTTGGACTTTATTAAAATGTCTCAATGTTGTGAACAATATAACAAAGTTTCTATATGTCACTATATAATTAATATAGTTAAAAGTATATAGGGCTGGGAATGTGGTTCAGTGGTAGAGTGCTTGCCTAGTATGTATGAAGTCCGGGTTCAATTCCTCAGTATCCTCAGTACCACATACACAGAAAAAGTCAGAAGTGGTGCTGTGACTCAAGTAGAATGCTAGACTTGAGCAAAAGAAGCTCAGGGAGGGTGTCCAGGCTTTGAGTTCAAGCCGTGGGACTGGCAAAAAAAAAAAAAAAAAAAGGTATATATATGCTGGGCCCTTTACTTGTAGCTACTCAGGAGGCAGACATTGGAAAGCCAGCCTGGGTAGGAAAGTCTGTGAGACTCCTCTGTAATTAACTACCAAAAAGCCAGAAATGGTGCTGTGGCTCAAAGTAGTAAAGCATTAGACTTGAGCACAAAAGCATCCAAGCCCTGAGTTCAAACTCCAGAACCAATACCAAAAATAAAGTGTAAATAATTCATCAATTCTTGAAATTACACTTACAGAAAATTTAGAGTTGTGTTTTTGAGGAAGATGGGTTTCTAATGATGTGTGTCAGGTTTTAGGGAAATTAGGAAATATAAAACATCTGAGCATTATCCAGGAGACTATAGTTCATTATGGGCTGCCAAATCTAAACATGCATCTTCTTTTACAGTAAATATGTCAATTTTTTATAAGTCAAATGTATTTCATCAAAGTATACAATAATAGAGCTGTTGTCTCAAATTAGTAAAATCTTTCAGTGCTATTAACACACTTGTTAGTACCCACATTGCTACAGCTCAGGGGAGTTAAATATGTAAGTGCTTTAAATACACCTACCTGCCAAGCACTGCTGGCTCACCTGTAATCCTAGCTATTCAGGAAGCTTAAATCTAAGAATCACAGTCAAAGCTAGCCTGGGTAGGAAGGTCTATGAAACTATTGTCTCCAATTAACCTGCAGAAAAGCTGGAAGTGAAGCTGTGGCTAATGTGGTAACCTTGAGCCAAATAGCTTAGAGACACAGGGCGTAGGACCTGAGTTCAAAGCCCCAGGACTGGCAAGCACACACACGCACACACAGCTACCTTAGCCAGTTATGGTGGCTCACATCTGTAATCCTAGATACTGGGGAGTCAGGAGGATCATGGTTCAAGGCTGTCCTCAGCATAAAGGTTGTGAGATCCTGTCTCAACCATTAAAAAACTAAGTTAAGTGGTGTGTGCCTGTCATCCCAACTATCCTGGAAGCATAAATAGAAAGACTATGATCTAGGCTGGCTTGGGGGAAAAAAAGCCTCAATTCAAAAAATAACAAAAATAAGAAGGTCTGAAGGTGTGGCTCAAGTGGTACTGCATCTAAATTCAAACCTCAGTACCACATATGTGTGTATATGTATATTCAAGTATCTTCAACTTAGTCTACTTTTCCCATAAAATACATAGTCACAACAACATTTTAAATAAGTAGGGCAATCCATTTAGAATATATAACACAGTAAAGGGTTGGTGTACAGTATTAAATATGAAACAATGGGCTGGGAAGTTGGCTCAGTGGTAGAGCACTTGCCTTGCATGCATGAGGCCCTGGGTTCGATTCCTCAGCACCACATAAGCAAAAAGAAAAAAGCCAGAAGTGGCGCTGTGGCTCAAGTGGTAGAGCACTAGCCTTGAGCTGAAGAGCTGAGGGACAGCGCTCAGGCCCAGAGTTCAGGCCCCACGACTGGACCCAAAAAAAAAAAAAAAGAAACAATTTAATATATGCTACTGCTTAGAGATTAATCCTTACACTCTTTAATTTAATAATTATTTTATAATAAGAGACACCAAACCAATGGGAGGTTAAAGTAAAAATCTCACCTACACCATTTTTAGAAAACAATACTGGAATTATAAAAGAAATGTTAACATGACTCTTACCTGCAATCCCAGATTGAAATAATACTGTAAAACTTTTGTATCTAAAATAAAAAATATCAATTTAGTGGAACTGACTTAAGCAATCACACTATTTAAAAGCCTTTTCTTTGAGCATTATTAGACAGCATTATCATCTTCTTACAGTGATATCATCCTCCAGTTTAATTATAAGCAAATGACCATTACTTACCATTATAGTTAAGCTCATTCTCTGTCATAGAAGTCTAATTGCAAAAATACAAATTTTATCTCGAGTCCTAATAGTAGGCAGAATCTACAGGAATGCTATTATGTAAATATATAGAAAAACCTAGAAAAGTATTATCTTGCTTGTCAGAAGAGTAAATTTTAACTACAACTTTATAATAAGCCTACCTTATTAATAAATCTATTATACTTTTGACCAAGTCCAGCAAAAAAACTTCCTGATTCTACATAATACAGTTCAGTTGATGTGGAGAAGCTCAGTAACTTTATGAGTAGTTGTGTTTACATTTTGCTCATCCTGAACATTGGCTGCTTTTCCTTAACTGCTCTTTGGAAACATACCCAAAATACCAAGGGTCAAATATATATAAGCAACCATTTTGGTCCCTGTTACTAGCATTATTATACAATACAAAATAATGATTAGTTATACCTCATGAGACAACAAACACATTAGATAATTCATCTTGTTCTTGCTTCTTATGATTAATAAACCACCACAAGAACTTTAAAGAGAAATGAGCATGCAGTGAAGAAGGTAACTTAAAATAGGGTACAGATCATAAGGTGGTTAAGATTTCTCCAGATATTACAATATTTCATAAAAAATTTATGAGACAAACGCTGATGGTTTACACCTGTAATCCTAGCGAATCAGGAGGCTGAGATCTGGGGATCATGGTTCAAAACCAGCCCAGGCAGAAGGGTCCATGGGAGTCATCTCCTACAGAGTTAACTAGTAAAAATCAGGAAGGGGAGGTATAGCTCAGGTGGTAAGAGTGTCAGCCTTAAGCAGAAAAAATTAAGAGCGCAAGCCTCTGGAGTTCAAGCTGTACTACCAGAACACACACCAAAAAAATCCCACCTACGTGCCTAAATATATAGACTTAGATGTTTGAGGAAAGAGAGACTGTCCTTCACATTCTTCTTTGCTTGTTTGATTTTGGGGGAGAGAGGTGTTGACCCCAGGGTCATCAATGTACTAAATGTAAGCATTATGACTGAGCTATATTCCCAGTTGTTAGGATCATTCTATTTGTATCTCTAAATTTATTTTTACTGAGTTGCCTGAGGAGCACATTTATTCTTATAAAGATAACATAACCAGAGCCCCACTAATAAATTCTCAGAAAAATCTCTATTTTGTTGGAGATTCCCCATGCAAACGTATTTAGTGTCATTTTAAAAGAAAAGCTTCTACTTTGACTATTATGTGGAAGTCCATTGTAAAGCCAAATGCTCAAGCTAAAGAAAATGAAAAAAGAGTAGGAAGACAATGACATGTGATTCTACTTTTGATAACTATACATATCATCACAAAAACTTCCCGATGGCATATCCATATACCACATTTATGATTTAGCTATAAAAACATGAAGTGCTGGTGCCTGCTATGACAAGGATGAACCTAAGAAATATGTTAAGTGAAAGAAGCCAGTGACAAAAACAAGTTATTGTTATGATTCTATTTACATTAAATATCTAGAATAGACAAAGCTACAGAAATAGAAAAATGACTAGTAGATGTTAGGGCCAAGTGAAGTAGGGAGTAACTATTAATGTTTATGAAGTATCTTTTGGAAGATGGAAGAACAGATGTTGACAGAATCTGAGTTAAATAATCACACCAGCGAAATAGGAGTAGAAACCAGGGGCATACAGTTTATAGAATATAAAGTTGGAATGGAGCACAGACTAGATTTATAGCAAGTCTGAAATACTGTATTTAATCTGTTGAACTATATAGGATAAGACAAAGTGATACACATAGCCAAGGTGTGAGATCAACTGAGAAGTGACTAACTGTTCCAAGTTAACACAAAAATCAATTTTATTTTATATACTAGAAAGACAGAACTGAAAAGTCAAAGTTTAAATACTAGATAGGACAGTATCAAATCCCAAACATACAATATATTTAACAAAAGGTATAGAGAACTATACCAAAAAAAATTACTAAGACCATACTTTCCTGGATTTAAAGAGATAATACTGATTAATGGTAATTCTTTCCAAATCAGTCTACAGATTCAATGTAGCCCTATTCTCAGTATTTTTTAGAATGTAGGGGTAAAAACTGATAAATGAATGAAAATAGAAATGGCCTAAAGTATCTAAAGCTATCTCGTAGAAAAAAAACTGGGAGAACTTAAAGGTTCACTCTACTGGATTTCAATTTAAAATTTTACTACAGAAACAGCTGTGGCCGGGCACCATGGTTCACATCCTAGCTACTCAGGAGGCTGAGATCTGAGGATCACGGTTCAAAGCCAACCCAGGCTGGAAAGTTCATGAGACTCATATCTCCAATAAACCACTAGAAAACCGGAAATAGTGCTATGGCTCAAGTGGTGGAGTGCTTGCCTTGAGCTGAAGAGCGCAGGGACATCGCCCAGACCCAGAGTTCAAGCCCCACGACTGACAAAAAAAAGAAAGAAAAAGAAAAGAAACAGCTGTGGACCAGGCACTAGTGGTTTGCACATGTAATTTTAGGTACTCAGGAAGCTGAGGTCTGAAGATCATGGCTCAAAGCCAGTCTGGGCAGGAAATTTTGTGAGACCTTTCTAATTAACCACAAAAAAGACGTGGAGCTGTGACTCAATTGGTGGAGTGCTAGCATTGAGCAAAAACACTCAGGGACACTCAGGCAATGGGTTCAAGCCTTGCACAAGCCAAAAAAGAAGCATGCATGCGCACACATGTGCACACATGCGCACATACACACACACGGGCACATACATACACACATACACACACATGTGGGGTACTAGTGTAAGGATTGAAAAAATAGATCAGAGAGAGCTCAAAAATATGCTAGCACTTTAGTTCTTTCAGCTTTCACCGAAACACCAAAGTAGGGAGAAGAAAATCATTTTGACATACATTTTGGAATACTGGGGGAAAAAAAAAAAATCAAAACAACCTCAACCCCTATCTCATATCGTATATTTACATCTTGAGATTAGAACCTTTGAAGTGTTCACATTTTCAAAATTCAGTTAGCATCCAAAATATTGAAGATTTTAACAATTTCATGAACCTGTGAAAAAACTTAACAAATAGAGAAAACTTCAATAATGACTCCTGCTTTTCAGGAAAAATAGACAAGTTGTGTATTTGAGAATGTTTTTCTGAGTAGCCATGTAGCTATCAAACACAACAAAACCCTAGCATGTATCAACCCAAGCAACCTACTGTTGAATATGTAGAAAACAATCTGTGTTCAGTTGTTCTATTCCCTAGTTATTTCCCTAGCATTTTGCTTTCGACAATTTTCATTTGATTTCTACTGGTAGGTACCACATAGCTGAACCCAATAATATTATAAATTTTTAACTATGAAATATAAATATCATTATCCAACTCTCCAAAAATATGCTTACCTTGAGGCAGATCACTTCCACTTGGATCACAGGAATAAGGTGGAGGTGGTGGTGGGAAATTAGAAGCTTCTCCTATCTCAAGAGGGGGAGGAGGTAATGGTGGAGGAGGAGGTGGTGGTGGCAGAGAGGCCACAGCACCTAGAATAGGAACAGAGTGGTACAGAGAAGATAGTGAAGCAAATATGACAAAGAAAACAATATATATGGGAGGGATAGTTGCGGATGTTGAAAGGGCTGACAAGGATCAAGATTTACTCCAGGCTCAGCCTTCTGAGTAGCTGGGATTACAGGCGCATGCCACCTCGGCCAGCAGGATCAAGATTTACTGTATCTACAAACTGCTTTGTTGAATGTCAACTCCCTTGTACAAGTACTTAAAAAACAAACAAAAAAAAAAAAACAAAGTAAAATGTACAACCATAACATCTTATAAGCAGTAGTTTATCTGTTTCATATGTTCCCAGTATGATCAAAGAACACTTAATTCTTATGATTTGACTTGTCTCTCTCAAATCACAAGATACAGAAACTAAGAGACAACATAGAGTACAAACTTCAGGAATTGCTGAAGATCTTCTGGTAGCATCCGAGGAATATAGGAAATTCTAAACATGATAGCTCCATTCCTAAAGAGGTATAGAATCTACAACAAAAAGGCTAAATACAAATACATATATGCCAGGTGAATTTGCTCAAACTTTATGGATAAATGATAGAACCCTTCATTTTGGCCAGTTCAGAAACTAAATTATCAAATATGATTACTTATTCCCTAGATTAAGTCCAGAATGCATTAAATTTAGTATAGGCTTAACATTTTGTGATCTGTTTCGTGTTTCTTGGGTCTCTCTCTCTCTCTCTCTCTCTCTCTCTCTCTCTCTCTCTCTCTCTCTCTCTCCTCTCTCTCCTGAACTCTGGGCCTGGGCACTGTCTCTCAGCTCAAGGCTAGCCATCTACCACTTGAGCCCAAAGCCACTTCTGGCTTTTTCTGCTTATGTGGTGCTCAGGAAGCGAACCAAGGGCCTCATGCATGCAAGGAAACACTCTATGACTGAGCCACTTTCCCAGCCCTGTTGGGCTGTAGCTAGCCTTGAGCTCTCAATACTCCTGTCACCCACATAAGTTTTGGGATTATAGACATGTACCACCAAATTTATCTTTTAAGTTTAGAATGACAATAGTCCATATAAGCTGGATTTGTCTATGTATTTATACTTTTTATATACTTATAAATTAATAGTAATAAATCTGGTATCTTACAGTAATCATATTTTGATGAACAATTTTGGCAAAATGATCAAATTCTCTCCTGATTGTGGTGGTAGTTATACAGTATATTGCATGTCAAAATTTGAATAGCTACCAAAAATGAATTTTATTAAAGAACATATTTTTTAAACTTCCATTGTTTTTGTATTGTGATACACATATAGAAATTTCTACTGTTATAGTTTCAGAAGAAATTAATTTTCAGAATATTGACTAATAACCTCTACTTGTAAAATTGTTTCGATCAACTGGCTGTTTCAAACAAAATTGTTCTTAATCCTTTCAAACTAACACTTGAAAACAAATTACACTTTTTTTGGTCCAATACTAGATCTCAACCTCCATCCCTGACACTTTGGCCCAATGACCAACTGAGCCAGGCTTCCAACCCCAATATAACATTTTTTAATAAAAGTCAATAGTCAATTAGTTGAGGATAGCAGTATGTGATTACGATCATTACATAAAAGCAACTACTAGCCACAGAAATAATTTAAAAATCATGATCCTGAGAGAATCAGAGAAAAAATTAAATTAAAGTGATTATATTGTTGGAATTACAATTTGGGTAATCCTACAACAATAAGCTCTTTAAGAAAAAGCTTTTTATAATTTCCAGTTTCTCGAAAGATGAGTATTTCATCCTGATTTAATAATGGTTTCATAAACTCAATAGGAAATAATGGAAGTAAAATGTTCTTAATTAATGGAAAACTTCATAAAGCAATGGCTTAAAATACTATTTACACACAGGCACTGGTGGCTCAACTCACACATGTAATCCTAGATGATTAGTAGGCTGAGATCTGAGGATCATGGTTCAAAGCCAGCCACGCAAAAATTCCCTGCAAGGCTCTTATCTCCAATTAACCATTCAAAAACTGGAAGTGCTAGACTTGAGCAAAAGAGCTCAGGGGTAGCGCCCAGGCCGAGTTCAAGCCCCACAACCACCAAAATAATTACTCCTATCATGATCACTATGGAATTTTTAGCGCCCCTTAAATTTTGTTAATAGAGACAAACAGATACTGGTACTGGCAAAAACCATAGGAGTACTTACTGAATTCAAAAATTTGCAGTTGACAGGATTTAATGACAATGAGAAGACTTACATTAAAAGCAGCCATCCCATGAAGCTACCTTCTCAGATAAGTAGTAAGTTAAAGCAAAATGGGAGGGGTCTGAAGAGACATGAAAATGAGAAACTTTTGTTTTTTCATTTGGGGGACTGATAAGAGCTACTAAAATGTAGTCAAAAAAAACTAAATCAGACTATCTTTGAGTTGGAAATTATTTAAAGAACAAAATGTAAAATGAAGTCAGCAGTTATTTTTTAGAAAAATATTGGCATTTAAAGGGTACACTTTGAATAATTCACATAAATGAAGAGTTACAGTGTTTGATTTACCTGCTGTTTGCATTTTGTAAGCTCAGATTTCTGCTGGAAGCAGCTAACCAATGTTTTTCCCTATATTAGCAGCAAGTAGTAAAACCAAGGTCTACAATGACATTTCCAATGAAAAATTTGTATCATTTATAGCATGCCTTTGCTCCAAGTACACAAAGTACTTCTTTATTTATAAATGAAAGCTATATAAAGTAAATCTAATGTTTTACTTAATGAGTTATTTTAAGGTAAATATTACTCAGGTCAAGAAATGAAACCTGCCAGGCACTGTTAGCTCCATCCTATAATCATAGCTACTCATAAGCCTGAGATCCAAGGGTCATAGTTCAAAGCCATCCCAGGCAGAAAAGTACAGGTGTTTCTATCTCTAAAATAATCAGTAAAAAGCTAGGCTGAATATATGGCTCAAGTGATGAGTGCCGCTGAGAAAATACACACACGTTTCTGACTTCAAGACCTGATAATACTCCCCTCCCCCCAAAAAAGTTATCAGCTACTCCAGAAGATTTCTATTTGCCCCTCTTAAAACCATCTTCCTCTCACAGTAAAGATTACCCTGATTTTTTTTTTTTTGGGGGGGAGGGAGGGTCCGGTCGTGGGGCCTGAACTCTGGGCCTGGGCGCTGTCCCTCAGCTCTTCAGCTCAAAGCTAGCACTCTACCACTTGAACCACAGAGCCACTTCTGGCCTTTTACTTTTTGCTTATGTGGTGCTGAGGAATCAAACCCAGGGTCTCATGCATGCAAAGCAAGCGCTCTACCACTGAGCCATCTTCCCACCCCTAGCCTTATTTTTAACAGTAAACACTTCCTTGTGGTTTTCTCCTTTGTTTTCTGACCTAAATGTGCATCCTTATACAAATTTTTAGTCTAATATATTTTTAAATTCTGATGTCTTGAATCTTTTAAAATTTATTGGTTCCTCTACCATTCCTTTCATATCTTAATGTTTTTTTTACATCCTTTGAGCATACTGAATTTCCCATAGTATAAATTTAGTCCTTTATTCATATAGGTCAATGGGTTTTGTATAGTGAGCATGATCCAGGAGACTTGATCACTCTGGACTGATGTATTTATAGGTATTGTCTGACTGTCATTGCAATCTGTTAGTCAACTCTCATTACTGTAACAAATACATGGGATTATTACTTCATAAAGAGATTGTTTTGACTCATATTTAGGTTTCACTACACGATCTATCCAGTGGCCTCATTGCTTTCTGATCCTTTTGTGGAAGCAGTACATCATAGTGAAAGCATATGGCAGAGGAAGCTGTTCACTTCATGGCAGAGAGAGAGAGAGAGAGAGAGAGAGAGAGAGAGTAAAAGGGATTATGTTCCACTATTCTGTTCAAGCACACACCCCCCATGACCTAAGATCTCCCACTAGAACTCTCCTTAAAGTTTCCACCACCTCCCCATAGAACTCATAATGGAATAAGCCTTCAACACAATCTTTGAAGAATAGTAGAGATTCAAACGATAGCTTAACTTAACAGCTATTAATGTTTAATGTTCATCCATACAATGAGTACAAAATTATAAATTGTTGCTTCTTTATCATTGACTAATTAGAATACTGTTATAAAGAGACATTTCCTTCTCTCATTTGATTGCCTAGTGGTCACATCATAGAAGAAAAAACAGTTAAATGCTTAATTCTTTCACCTTTTCCAAATGATAAGTGAGTTTGTTCCTTCATCCTTTTCAGATGCCTTTTTTTAAAAAATATTATTAGAAACTTAGAAATTTCACTAATTTGTTATATTCTAATCTACTACAATTATCAGTATTGAAGCTCAGTTTGTCCTGTTAAATGACTGTGGAAACGTCTTTAAGATAGCTTCTGATAGCTTGAATGCAATAGCTCCTGCCTGGAATCCCATGGAAACTGGAAATATCACAGTTCTAGGAATCATAGGCGAAAAAGTTAGTGAAACCCCATGTCTAATAAAAAGCTGGCTAAGTGATTTAAAACTGCAGTTTCAGTTATATGACAGGTATAAGTAGGATTGCAGCCTGAAGCCAGACCATGCAAGTTTGAAACCATTCTCACATAAAGGGGCTGGGGCTCAAGTAGAAGACCACCTACATACCAATCATGAATCCCTGAGTCAAACTTCAGCACCACAAATAAAGATAGCTCCTTTGAGGGCTGGGAAGGTGGCTCAGTGGTAGAGTGCTTGTCTTGCATGCATGAGGCCGTGGGTTTGATTCCTCAGCACCACATAATCAGGAAAAAAAAAGCCGAAGTGGCGCTATGGCTCAAGTGGTAGAGTGCTAGCCTTGAGCTGAAGAGCTGAGGGACAGCTCCCAGGACCAGAGTTCAGGCCCATGACCGGACCCCCCCCCCCCCAAAAAAAAAGATAGCTCCTTTGAAAGCTTCCCTGATATTAAAATAACAGGTTCAATACTCAGCTTCAACATGCCCTGCTCAGACCTGGAATTTCCCCACAAGGTTGTAATTTTTTCAAGATGATATATGGTATATTAAGACTACAAAAACTGGGTGGCAGGGATATATACTGCTTCTGATAATTATTTTCATTGAAGAGATCTAAAAAATACACTGGTGTTTTCAAGGGTAAAATGCATGTACTACCCCTGAGAATTCTGACTCACAAGACCATAGAGGATGACAAAATTAGAACATCTCATAATTGCTCATTTGTTCTAGCCTATATTACACTCAGAAAAAGGAGAATCTAGATAATAGAAGCTAATGTGATTGATGACATTAAAATGTTTTACACACCTTCTCTCAAATTTCCCACTTGGAAAAATAGCTCTATCAGTTGGCCACTAGTGTGGCTCATGTCTATAATTCTAGCTAGCTACTCGGGAAGCTAAGATTTGAGGATGATGGCTTGAAGCCAGCCTGGGCAAAAAAGTCTGTGAGACTTTTATATCCACTAAACAAAAAAAGCCAGAAGTAGAGCTGTGGCCGCCCAAGTGTGAGCCTTTAACTAAAGAATCTCAGGGACAACACTCAAGCCCTAAGTTGAAGTCCCAGAACTGGCACAAAAAGGCTTATCTTCCTTCTCCAAATATAAGGTTATTACATAGTATGTTCTCAACCTCCTAGACCTCTTTATTCTATGGGTATCCATATATTATTGACATTGGTTCTTCTATTATGCTTGTAATTTTCTTTTGGTAATTCAAAACTCAAAAAACTTATTCCCTAATATACTCTTGTCAAAATAACTTTCTATGATAGTACAAATACTCTGTGTTGTCCAATAAGGGAGTACAAGTGATTTGCGGTTTGTTGAGTACTTGGTAAGATGCTCATGAGAGTGCGAAATGAAGTTTTTTATTTAATGCTAACAACATGTGGCTAGTGAGTACCTTATTTCAAAGCACAGCACTAGCAGATTCTTCCAGAAGTGTTTATGGAAATCTTCTCAGATTTTTATATGCTGCCCCTAATTTCTTCTTATATTTCAGTTTGTTTAGCTCAAACGACTTTGTCTTTCAAGCCCAGTAATTTTTCTAGACTATACTGGTGCTGCTTGTTCTGAGTGGATGCTCTCTGGTATGATGAATGCTATTTCAGTATGCTTCAAAAATTTTTAAGCTTTTTAAATATCAATCAAGTTTTTTTTGGTATTTATACCTTTGTTGTTTTTGTTTAGTTCTCTTCAGCTTTCTTCAAATGACATCATCACTACTTGATCTCTTTTCGCTTCAGTGTGTCAACTTTGAATTCGTTTTGATTTTCATTCAGTTTTAGATTTCCCCTTACTTATAATTCTTCCTCTGCTTACCAGGCTTCTTACAAACTATACTACTGAAATAATATTTTCTTTCCAAGTCTTTCCTGAATTTTTACTTTGTGAAATTTTCTAATTATTCAGTAATATTTTACATTATTTTATTAATATAAATCTCATTTTGGAAGTTTTCGTAGAGTTTTTAGTTGGCAAATTTCTGACATGTTTTCACCTTCTCCAATGATATTATTCTGCTTTTTTCCCCTTAAGATATTTGCTAAGCCAGGTACTGATGGCTCATGACTGTAATCCTAAGTACTCAGAGTGCTGAGATCTGAGAATCACGGTTTGAATCCAGCCCAGACAGGAAAGTCTGTGAGACTCTTATCTCCAGTAAAACACCAGAAACCAGAAGGGGAGCTATGGTTCTAAGTGGTATAGTGATAACCTTGAGCAGAAAAAGCTCAGGAACAGCACCCAGACCCCTGAGTGCAAAACTCCCCAACTGACAAAAGAAAAAAAAATAACTGTTTATAAACTTTTACCTTAAATACTTTTATTTCCTCTTATGAACACTTTTCATAAACTTTTGGATGAGGTGGAATAAATGGTGGCTTTCCTAAATTCATGAACTCTCTTTGATTTTATAGTGTTCAAAAACATATGACTGCAATTTGTAATTCTTTAACTGGTCTCTCCAATGTTAATATGGACACATTCTTTCCCATTCTGATGAATTCTGAGTCCATTCCTAGCAGTTTTTTTTTCCTTAGTCAAAAATACAATCCCAAAAGGGAGCCCTGACCGATCACTTCTGTGAGTTCTAAATGAACTGTTCTAAGATTTTTGATCCTTTTACTATTTCCCTCATGTACTTAGTATTGGACAGATCAAATCCCTTCCCAGTTTTAGATGCTGCTTTCAAACTGGACACTCTACTTTCCAGTAAAATCTTATTAAATCTTTTTAAAATTAATTCTTAGGCCTATATAGCAACATTCTCTGTACTTCCACACAAACCCTGATAGCGTGCAGGTTTTGTGAATAGTGGTTTTCCTCTATCTGCTTAAATTTAGATGTCTAAGAGAATACTAAGTCACCTACTTTTATGCAAGATACTATCTATGGGCTTTGGTTTTGTTAAATCCATTTTCTTATTAGAACTAGGATTGAAAAGCTATCTTGATGTTGTCATCACTTTCCCAGAACTGCTAAGAACTTTAAATTACATTAACTGTAATTCCACAACTACTTCATGAATTGGTATTGTTAGTACTCCCATACTCATACATAATAAAGGATAAACTGTCCAAATGTATACTGTTAATAAGTTAATGAAACTAGGATTTGATTCCATATCTCTTAAAGATTGGAAGCCTAATATTCTTTATTATGACATTCTTGGGGTAATGATTCATAACAAAGGAAACATTTTAAAGCCAACTTTCAGAAACGTATCCTATGTGAAAGCATGCCTGTGTCAGTTCTTATATAATAAAACTTGACTCCAAGTTTTAGAAACTAGTACTAACCCTTTCAGTAAGCAACAAAAAGGGAAGAACAAAATTTTATCAGTAAAATTTACCAGAAGACAATTAAAATCTTGATTCTCAAATCTCTTGACTAAAAATACTAATCTTAAGTAGGTTAAACAAGTTAAATTGTGGAAATTAAATCAACCTGATCACCAGAATAGTTGTGTATGCATGTTAGTCATCAGAAAAAGAGACTCCCCAAATAAGCAATTGCTTACAACCTACCTGGCTTGCCTTGAGTAGGTGGAGTGACAAATACAGGCTGTATAGAATTCTGCGAAGAAACTGATGAGGTACTACTAGATTGATCACCTGCTGCACAGTTAGGTAAGACTGGAGCTGGAACATGACCAGGACAGGAATTTTCACTTGCTGCAGAATTTCCTATCACCTACAAAGAGAAGAAAATTCAGAACTCTTAAGTTTGGTTTCTAAAATGGTACTCATTTCTTATCTGATCCTAAATTTTAGGAATGTGTATTGATAATTAAAACAAGATGTCAAGCTCTATAAATACTATATAAAGGAAGCTTATTTCTTTGAGAAGATTCTAGTTTGAGATTTTTCTGAAAAGATAGTTATTAATATAATTTAAAAATCAAACATCAAGATGTGTACAATGCAGTTTCTCTCTAACCTGATCTTTATCTGCTTAGCAACCTTTTCCTGAAAAGGTAACTTCAGGATTTTCTGAATCCTATTCTAGAGGTATATGATACATTTAGTATATGTATATATACACAAAATATGTATTCCCACATTATTTGTGCATTATATATGTACATATGTGCATATAAACACATATACTTCATAGTTTCCCACATAGTTTCTTAAGGCAGAACAAGTGCTTTGCATTTTATGGAACTTTGTGAACGTATGAGGACAGTTGTTTGAGGCTACAATTTCTACTTAGGCCATAGTCTTTAAGAGATCAGACTACCTTCTCACAACATACAGTATTGAGCTATTCACAGAGCTCTTTTTCATGATTCTAGGGTTTGAGTTCAGGGCCTCTAGCAAGTCCTATACCCTTAGAGTCATACCTGTAGCTACCTATCCTTTTTTTTTTTTTTTGTCGGTCATGGGGCTTGAACTCTGGGCCTGGGCGCTGTCCCTCAGCTCTTCAGCTCAAGGCAAGCGCTCTACCACTTGAGCTACTTCTGGTTTTCTGAGTGGTTTATTGGAGATTAAGAGTCTAACTTTCCTGTCCAGGCTGGCTTTGAACCGTGATCCTCAGATCTCAGCCTCTTGAGTAGAGAGGATTACAGGTGTGAGCCACCTGTGCAAGCTAATCAGATGTTTCTGACAGGTTAATTTAGTACTGACTCATTCATTATGTAAGAGGTTCACAGCGGCCACAAGCAGGTTTTTTTTTTTTTTTATTGTAAAGCTACTATACAGAGGGTTACAGTTACATGAGTGAGGTTATGAGTACACTTCCTCTTGAACATTGTTACCCCCTCCATTGTTTTCCCCCTACCATCCCCTCCCTCCCTCCCTTCCCCGAGGTTCTTTTTTTTTTTTTTTTTTTGATTGTGATTAAATGATTACATAATTTCAAAGCCACAAGCAGGTTTTTGAACTTAACCACTGTACCAGGTACCAGAAGATACAATAATACTTTTAGAAACACAAATAGCTGGATAAAGGCAATGGAAAGGAAAAATCCACATCCTCTGTTTGACCCACTATAAAAGATTCCTTGGTAACTTATAAATATTACCTGCTGGGAGTAGATGTAAGAGGTAACTGTGTCCTAAGCAGATAAGAGAACACGGTCTTTTGTCGTAAAGAGACTTTAATGAACACAGAAATATAGATGAAAAAAGTGAAATCAAGAAATTAAAACTAATTTATTATAATATCTAAAGCTAAGTGAATGTGATCTGTTCTGAAATCATGCAAGTTTGGAAATGATTACTATGACAGTACCTTAAAAAGAATCATGACTCTAGCTCCTGGTTTAGGCTACTGCACTGTTCCCTATCCAGGGAGATTCTGCCCAATTGTAGACTGAATCTAGATAAACCAATCATTTTCTCATTGGTCTTTTTTGACTGAAGACCTTTGAACACAGTAGGAAAAAACAATAATATTGCTAAACAAAAGCCTTCTTCTCTCTGGTGATTAAGCAAGAAAGAAGACTGGGTTAGCTAATAGTTCAGCTATATCCTAGCTAAGCAGGACGTAAAGGATGTAGTAAGGTCCAAATACTATTTACTTCTGGCTAAAGAACCAAGCTTTATAAAACAACTAATCAGGGGCTGGGAAAGTGGCTCAGTGGTAGAGCGCTTGCCTTGCATGCATGAGGCCCTGGGTTCGATTCCTCAGCACCACAAAAGCAAAAAAAGAAAAAAGCCGGAAGTGGCGCTGTGGCTCAAGTGGTAGAGTGCTAGCCTTGAGCTGAAGAACTGAGGGACAGCGCCCAGGCCCAGAGTTCAGGCCCCACAACTGGACTCCCCTCCCCCCAAAAAAACAACTACTAATCAGACATAGGAATGACACACTACTGGAGCAGCTAAGAATAAAGGAGTAATAAGTGAAAGTTACTACATATTTGATATGTTATGCACTGTGAGCAATATGTAGCATGGATTTAATATTGCATTTCTCCAAAGTTTAAGTATAAGCAAATCACCTGTTGAAAACAAAACATCTGTCATGGCTGAGCAAGCCCTGTATGAATGCTTAAAAATATACCTAGCGAAAGACTTCAATGATGAGCATGTAAATAAAAAGTAGAAACCACTTTTCCTGGTTTCTTTCTGTGCCTGGAAATCTTTATTCAAGTCGTATATTGGTACTCTCACTTCAGAATGCTGAAAACAAATGACTTAAAGTTTTGTGAATTTGGTGATTGAAGAGTAGAAGTGGAGCCTATCATGAAGATAATTGAAAGCTATGAGAGTATATGATAAAGTTACAATAAAAAGGACCAAGTATCAAGTGAAATTAAAGTGAAAGAAATAAAGTGACCAAGCTTGCCCTCTCTAATGATGAGTCTGTTTTACTTGTCTTTTCTTTTTGGTACTAATTATGTCAGCAGATGGTATAAAAGAAGCATGTGATACGAGAATAAAGTGATGGTTGGGCTGGAAAAAAATCACTTGTTCTCTAAAAGAGACAAAGTAAGGGAAAAATATAAAGGTGTAAAAGAATTATGCATCTCAAAAATTTTTCTCTTCTCAGTATAATGCCTGGAGAGTAAAAGCAAAATTAGTACATAAAGCTGCCAAGGTAAAAGTAATCATAATGAAAAAAAATGAAAGTAAAATCCCTTCTTCATTTCCAGTTTTCCTAGGTACTATCTTTGCTTCCAAGGACTGTCCAAGGTTCTAAAATCATATTATGAAATAAACCAAATACATAAAGATATGTATTTCAGTTTAAAAATAAAAGATGACAGAAAATAGGACAGAAATATCCAAGGACTGGGAAAGGGACTGGAGAAGGGAAGAGAAAGGATTGGGCAGGAAAATACTAGTAAAGAAAAATCAAGGTATGATATGTGGAAATTAGATCCAAATTATAAACATATTTGCAAATATATATTGGATCATTAAACATGTGGTCTTAAGTAAGATATATGTGAGAAAGGTTTGAATTAACTCCTTCAAACAACCTGTAATTTAACAAAATAATACCAAAAAGCAAGGAGACAAAAGAATGAAAAGAGAGGAGCTGGGAAGGTGGCTCAGTGGTAGAGCGCTTGCCTTGCATGCCTGAGGCCCTGGGTTCGATTCCTCAGCACCACATAAGCAAAAAGAAAAAAGCAGGAAGTGGTGCTGTGGCTCAAGTGGTAGAGCGCTAGCCTTGAGCTGAAGAGCTGAGGGACAGCGCCCAGGCCCAGAGTTCAGGCCCCACGACCGGACCCAAAAAAAAAAAAAAAAAAGAATGAAAAGAGAAAGGGAGGGTGAATACATTCACAATATTCAATGTGCATATGTGAAAATAAAACAAGATAATTAGAGGGGATAGGTGGAGTTGGGAGATATGGAGGACAATGATGGAAGGAATGACATTCATCAAAATGCACTGTACTCATAAACTGATAATATTGATTGAAACCTTTTTTTTTGTTTTTTGTCAGTCATGGGGCTCAAATTCAGCCTGGGCACTGCCCCTCAGCTCTTCAGCTCAAGGCTAGTGCTCTACCACTTGAGCCACAGAGCCACTTCTGGTTTTCTGAAGTGTTGATTGGAGCTAAGAGTCTCATGGACTTTCGTGCCCGGGCTGGCTTTGAACTGCGATCCTGAGATCTCAGCTTCCTAAGTAGCAAGGATTACAGGTGTGAGCCATCAGTGCCCATCTGAAACCTTCTTTTACAACTACTTACAGATAATTTAAAAAGTTTTTAAAAAATCAATGCATAATACAATTTTTCCAAGTCTTTCCATTTCCTTACAAATGGTACAATATCATTGTAATAGAAGCATAGAAATCCACTGTGTATATATACAACATTTTCTTGATCCATTCATATGCTGAAGGTCATCTGGGTTGATTCCAAAATCTTGGCTATGGTAAACAACATTGCCATGAACATGGTTGTGCTGGTAGCTTTAGTGTGGCCTTGTTTGTGGTTTGTTAGATAAATGCCCAGGAGTGGAACTGTTGGGTCATAGCGAAGTAAGTAAGCCAGACCCAAGGAAACATAGGTCGCAAGGTCTCCCTTATTTGTTATAACCACAAAGTGCCTATAAATCTACAAGTAACCATGCTGGATGGTAAAAGACAAAAAAATACACTTGGACATAATAAATTATACAGGACTCTAAATTCACACATTGAAACTAAAAAAAGATATCTTTAAGAGAGGATCACTAAAGTTCAATAGCTTTGGGCATATGATCATATAAAATGATGCTTATCACAATGAACTCCAAGAAACTGAAACAAGAGGTATTATGTTATTTTACTTGTTTTTTTCTCCTTTGTCACTGTTTTTGTTTTTATACCTTTTCTCTTGTATATAAGTTTATCTGTTTGGGGGAGGATAAGGTGGAGCATAGAAATGATGGGATAAAAAGGTAAACAAATGCAGCAGTGATTCTCACTAGATACTATGTTGAAAACAAACTATACAACTTGTGGGGAAAAGGGTTGGGAGTGAAAAACTCAAAGAAAAGAGGTAAGAGGTGATACTGTTCAAAAAGAAAAGTATTCATTACCTGACTTGTGTAACTATAACCCCTCTGTATATCACCTTTACAATAAGAAAATGCATAATATATACAGATATAGAAATATCACAATGAAATGTCCCATAATATACACAAGTAATATAGGTTAATAATTTCAGGTGAAAAAATAAAAGTTAGGTATGGCCATATTAGTTGTTTGGCCATTGAAATATAAACAGGAATGTTAATGGTCAGCCAGGTACTGATGGTACATGCCTATAATCCTAGCTATTCAGGAGGCTAAGATCTGAGGTTCATGGTTTGATGCCAAACTGGACAGGAAAGTCCCTGATAGATCCATCTCCAATTACTTATCAAATAAAAAGCCATAAGTGGAAGTGTGAATAAAAAGGGATCAGAGAAAAATAAATCCTTAAAATCTAAACAATTTAATCAATAAATGGGGTAAAAAAGAGATACTTCTCAGAGGAATAGTAAGAATGGCCAATATACACATGAACAAATGGTCAACATCTCTGGCCATAAAAGAAATGCAAACCAAAACAACATTGAGATTCCATGTCATCCCAGTTAGCATGGCCATTATCAAGAAAACAAACAATAACAGATGCTGTTGGGGATGTGGCCAAAAGTGAACTCTATTACACAGTTGGAGACTTCTTCAACCACTTTGGAAAGCAGTATGGAGGTTCCTCAAAAGACTAAACAAGAGCTACCCTATAACCCAGCAATTCTACTCCTGGGCATTTATCCAATTGACCACAAAACAGGCTATACTACAGCTACCAGCACAACCATGTGAACTGCAGCATTATTTACCATAGCTAAGATATAGCACTAACCCAAATGCTCTTCAGTACATGAATAAAGAAAATGTGATATGTGTGTGTGTGTGTGTGTGTGTGTATACACACACACACACACACACACACACACACACACACACAATGGAATTCTATGCTTCCATCAGAAAGAAGGACATTGCCAATTTGCTAGGAAGTGGAAGGACTTGGAAAAAATCATAGTGAAGTAAGCCAGATCCAAAGATACAGTTTGCATGGTTTCCCTCATTTTTTGGGTGGGTGGGGGGTCCAGTCGTGGGGCCTGAACTCTGGGCCTGGGCGCTGTGCCTCAGCTCTTCAGCTCAAGGCTAGCGCTCTACCTGAGCCACAGCACCACTTCCGGCTTTTTTCTTTTTGCTTACGTGGCGCTGAGGAATCGAACCCAGGGCCTCATGCATGCAAGGCAAGCACTCTACCACTGAGCCAACTTCCCAGCCCGGTTTCTTTCATTTTTTGTAATTAGAATGCTCCTAATAAATCTACATGTAAACACAATGAATGATCGAAAAAATATCCACTGGGACATGACAAATTATACAGGACTCTAGACATTCACACAGTGAGGCTAAAGGATATATGCACAGGAGTGAATGACAATAGCTATGTGAATTTTTTTTTTTTTAGTTGCTATTGTTGCTTTTTTCTTTTCCTTTTGTCTTGTATGTTAGTTTATATATGGGAGGGCAGGGGAAAGCACAGAGAAGGTGGAAGAAAGGATAAATACGACACTGGTACTCACTAATCACTAAGCAGAAAATGAACTATACATCCTGTGGTTGGGGACAGAAGGGAAAAATTGGGAAAGAGCAAGGGAAGGAGAGACATGGTTCACAACGAATTGTACTCGTCACCTAACTCATGTCACTGTAACCCCTCTGTATACCGTTCTACAATAACAAAAAATATTTTAAAAAGAAATAATATCAACTGAAAAAAATCTTACTGGTAAGATTTATGATTTAAGGAAATTAGGAAAACACACACTAGCATGGTTTTCAGACTGTAATCAGCAATCTTTCACAGGAAAGAATTAGTAATTTATGGATAGGAATGAAAAGGAACAGAGGGCCCTAGTATACAGTAACCCATGGGGTTGAAGAGATAACTGTTTCAACCCTAAAATATAAGGTGAATACTTTGAGAAAAACCAGTTAGAATTCACTTTCATAGCATGGATCAAAATCATTGAAAATTTCTGAAGAAAAGATGCCTCAAAGAAAGTTCAGCTATGGGCAATCACTAAATTATCACATGTGGACAAAATATCTCAAGGAAAAATATACAAAATAAGTCTGATATATTTTGTTTTGTTTATTTATTTATTGTCAGTCATGGGGCTTGTACTCTGAGCCTGGGTGCTGTTCCTGAGCTCTTCAACTCAAGACAAGTGTCCTAACACTTGAGCCACAGTGCCACTCCAATTATCTTAATCCTAGCTACTCAGGAGGCTGAGATCTGAGGATTGCAGTTCAAAGCCATCCCAGACAATAATCTCTGTGAGACTCTATCTCCAATAAACCACTAGAAAACCGGAAGTGATGCTGTAGTTTAAGTGGTAGAGTGCTCGCCTTGAGCTGAAGAGATGAGGGACAGCACCCAAGCCTAGACTTAAAAAAGTCTCACAGACTTTCCTTTGAACCATGATCCTTACATCTCAGCCTCTTGAGTAGCTGGGACTATAGGCATGAGCCACTGGCCCCTGGCTCCTGGCTGGCTGGTATGTTTTAGATGTTCACAATCAAGTAAAACTCAGAAATAAGAAAGCAAAGCATTATAGCAAATTTGATTAGCATAGCTATAAAATGAATCAGAAGTATGGTTATTGGTACACAAAACTAATAGGGATAAAATAGAGGATTAAATAAATTAATGTCACAGCCAAAGAAACCAAGACTCAGAAATAATATTATTCAAGGAAAGTAAAATAATCTGTGAGCCCCAGTCCTGTGAAAGAAGCAGGCAAGCTACCAAATTACCACCTTCAAATATAACCAGGGACAGGTAGGTCTTCTTACAAGAGTTTCAGAAAATAATAAACCAGAAAACACTTTCCCACGCATAACTTGGTGGCTACATAGTATACCCATAATGATCTCAGAACTGTGATAGGCCAAAAACTACATTTCTTCCACTTTCCCCCATTCTGAGAAGGAACACTAGTGTAACTGGTCATCTCATGTGCACCACTCTAAAACCGGCGAACAGTAAACTTTGTAGGTTTGATTTTAGGTCTAGTTCAGGAAGAACAACAGATGAACCCAGTATGAGGAATTTTACATAATCATTTTGAAATCCTCACTTTTGCATCTGAATACACTGAATGGGGCTCAGAGGCTGCTTCCCTTAGTACAAAAATCACTATTTCCCTTTTTTAGAGAAATTTAGTTGAATATTATAGTTTTAATGCTGTCAAAATATTTCTAACTTTTTGCCTTCCAGGTAGACAAAAGTTAAACTCAGTGAGATTTGATGTAGTCAATGAAATAAAGAAGATTGGTATGTGGCATCTGCAGTGGAAACTTTAAGAGTCAGTGCACCATTTACCACCTTTGATTTCCTGAGTTGGCAATCATGAATGGAGTAGCTTCTATAGGCTTTCACTGTGCACATACTATAAACAAGAAGCAAACTTAATTGTATTAAGTAAATAAAATTTATAGCTCATTCTGATACAAAAATCATAATGAAAATTTCTGGTACAAAAAAACTCCGGTAATAAAAACATTTAAAAGAATGTCACTGTCAATGTAAGAATTTCTTTTTATTCTGATATAGATATATCTATACATAGATTAACTTACTAAAGGCCTTATTTCTTTTTTAACTTCTATTTTATTATAAAGATGTTATAAAGGGGTTACAGTTACATGAGTTAAGGTAACGACTTACTTTATTTCTAGACCTCAATTTTAGATATATAATGGGAACAACGCTAACTACCTCAAAGTGTTTTGCTGACTTAAATACATGTATATGTAGAACCCCGAGAACAGTACCCTAATTTATAGTAGGAGTTAACAATGTTTGCCATTATTAAGTACCTACCAAGTTTGCTGTAGATGCAGTCGTGCTATACACATCTGAATTTCCATAGTCAGTTTCTAGAAGAGTCAATGTAAAGCAAAAAAAAAAAAATTACATTTGAAATTTCATCAAAGACATAAGGTTTTATCTAGAATCTCACTGACCTGATGAGTAAAGATATTCTTCATGATATCCCCCTACAAATAATAAAGGAAAATGTTGTATTATTTTAACAGAACCAAATAGGCAGTCCTTGCTTTTTCTTATGTTTCATGAGTGTATTTTCAAAACCAAAATTAGCATATTCTTGATAGGTATTTGAGCTTTTTAGTCAATAGATAATGAAACCAGAAATAGGCTATAAACAATAAACCAGGCTTGTTGGTATATGCCTGTGGTCTTAATTACACAGGAGGCCACAGGTAGGAGGATCAGGGTAAGTCCTAGGCAAATCCTGCCTGAAAAATAAATCAAAACTAAAAAGTGCTGGGCCATTGCTCAAGTATGAACTAGAGTGCTTGTCTAGTAAACCCAAGCCTCAGTTCAAACCTCAGCATCACAAAAAAGTAATTTCTTTCCTGATCTGTTTTCCAGCATGTTTCATGTATGTGTATATAGACATATGTCTATATATGTGTATTTCTTCAAAGTATGCATGGGTAGTTTTTCTTCAAAGGATGATAATAGACAAAAGTACTCTCCATTAATATCAACAGGCAATTGAAACACAAAGTAAATCTCCAACTTTATAATTTTCTACCAAAGAAAGCCCACAGATGTAAACTGGATTCGATTCTTCAAAACATAGTACTATCAACCAAACAGATAGTAAGACTTAAGTTCAGAATAAAGGTTCTGTTATTTTAAATATGTCACTGTGAATAGTATATATGTAGTTACTCATACGGACTACAAGGAAAAGTTAAAAAGTCATCTGAATAAACGATCATAGTAAGGATCTTTAAGAACATTCATGGACATGCATGTTTTCACACATCATTCTGTGTCAGATATTCTTGCCCTCATTAAATTCTTAAAGTGTTTTCCTCTATATAACTAGCAAGAAGAATATAACAAGTAAGGATTTTTATTCAGATTAACTTATACCTTAAAGCCACTAAATCATCTGCAGTTTTTCAGTACATGTTTATTATATTAAAGGAGGCTTTGGGGGACTGGGAAGGAGGCTCAGTGGTAGAGTGCTTGCCTTGCATGCATGAGGTTCTGGGTTCAATTCCTCAGCACTACATAAGCAGAAAAAGCTGGAAGTGGCTCAAGTGGTAGAGCGCTACCCTTGAGCTGAAGAGCTGAGGGACAGTGCCCAAACCCAGAGTTCAAGGCCCCACGACCAATCGAAAAAAAAAGAGGCTTTTTCTCTTTTTTGCTGTTGTTTTTAATGTACTATGTGATTTTTTTCTTTTGTATGTTGTTTCACCATTGTATAACCCCTGTTGTCATTGTATTTGATTCCGGTGCCCTGCATCTTATATATACATTTTTCTAATTTGGGGAGGGGAATGGGAAATAACAAAATGCTGAAACAAGGATACACAATGATCCATTATAACAATGAGATGTATGAGACACTATGTTGAAAATGAACTTCACAACTTGGCAGGGAGAGGGAGGAGTTGGGGAGGGAAGAGATAGTAGGGGAAAAACAAAGGAGGGGGTAACAATGCTTGATAGAAAATGTACTCATTAGTCATGTAACTGTAACCTCTCTGTACAGTATCTTTACAATAAAAAAAAGTAAATGGTCAAGCCTGTAATCCTATCAACTCTGGAAGTTGAAATCTGAGGATCACAGTTCATAGCCAGCTAGGGGAGATATCTATGAGATTATCTCCAATTAATCACAGAAAAGGCTGAAATTGGAATTGTGGCTCAAATGGAGAGTTTGAGCAAGAGTTCAAACTCCAGGACCAGCAAAATATTTACTTGTTCAAAGAAAACACTTCATGGTCAGAGGTAATATTAGTAAGAGTGTGTGTGTTTGTGATATGTGTGGTATATATAAAGTGCTAGAGATAAATACCAGTTCAAAATCTTACTCTTCTATTCACAAAGGATTCATATCTCCATTTAAATGAAATGTCCAGAGTAAGTAAACTATGGATTGGTGATTGCCAAAGGCTGGAGGAAGGAGATCACAGGTAAATGGTAGTGGGTGCTAGTGGATATGGGGTTTCTTTGGAGGATGATAAAAATGGAAGATAGGGGCTGGGAAGGTGGCTCAGTGGTAGAGCGCTTGCCTTGCATGCATGAGGCCCTGGGTTGATTCCTCAGCACCACATAAGCAAAAAGAAAAAAATCGGAAGTTGCACTTTGGTTCAAGTGGTGGAGTGCTAGCCTTAAGCTGAAGAGCTGAGGGACAGCGCCCAGGCCCAGAGTTCAGGCCCCATACCAGACCACCCCCCCCCCACCCCCCCGGCAAAAAAAAGGAACAAAAATGTCCTAATATTAACTGTGGTGGTGAATGTGCCAATCTGAGTACAGCAAATGCTACTTAATTGTACACTTTGAGTAAACTATGCAATATATAACTTATGTCTCAATAAAGTTGCTACAAAATTATGAGACATTGCCACTTACAGAAAGTATGGCTTTGGCAATATCATTTATCTTTGAATTTCAATTTTTTCATTTATAAAATAGGAATTCCAAATTTCTCAGAAGGATGCAATAAGAATTTCATTAAATTATAAATATACTTTACTAGAACAGACAGCAAATTAAGATTCAATAAATACTAATAATTACAGATGAAGTAGAGTACTTTGGAGGAAGGATTTATTTCACATCAGTCTTATCAGGTAAAGTACTAGTCACATGAGAAGCCTAAAGTATACAAATGGTAAAAACTATGAACAGTACAATATCATTAAGGAGTATTTTTCATACTGTTATCTCATCAAATAAAACTCACTCTATTCAGAGTACTATAAATAAATTATAACAATGTAGAATAGAAATCTATGAAAATATCAGGTCATACTCAAAAACCCAGAAAGCTTAAAAGAATTTATATAATTTGTATTTTTAATAAGACAGCAGAACAGAGTTAGACCTTCTTAAGCCAACCCTCTGGTTCACTTCACAACTCTTATGTTCTAATTCCTATTTCTATTTGACACTAAATGACTCACCATTGTCATTACTGCCATTACCCTCCGTTGAATTCAAAGTCTGTTTTCCTGAGCCATGTCCTTGCCTTGTAACGCAGTATCCTGAAGTAACAGGAACCATCGTAGGAGGACCTCCATGGTTCTGTACCAAGACACACACATACAAAACACACATACACACACTTGCAATCCTCTGCTTAGTAACGTATTAGGATGATTTGAAAGTAATTTAAAGAAACTACACTAACACTATAAACTGCAATTTTGAGAAGTGTGTTAATTTAATAAGTAATTAATTCAAATTGTAGTTTAGAATTGAAAAATATGTCAATAATGGTCAAGAAACCGGAATATATTAGCCCATATATAGGCAAGGTTAGCTAACTCTATCCACTTCTCCAAGAATAGCATTTGGGAAAAAAAAAACAAAAAACTATTTTCACCAGGTACAGTAGCAAACGCCTATAACCTCAACTCTTGGGAGAATGAGATAGGAGGATTGTAAATTCAAAGCTAGCCTAGGCTACATAATAAGATCTTGTCTCAAGAAAAACAAAGAAACAAATCAAATTTAAAAGCTCTAAGGAGCTAAGTTGGTGCTTGCCCTGAAGGACTTTATTTAGTTGTTCAAACTAATACTTAAAATTAGGGCCAAACTAATACTTAAAATTAGGGCTGAGGATATATCTCAAAAGTAAAGTACTTGCCTTACCTGTATAAAGACCCAGGTTTGATACCTAACACCAGAAAAAAAAACCTTAAAATTTACATATATTACCTTTAATTTTAAAAAGGTGTAACAGCTTTACAAGTGAAGCTCTGATCCACTTACAGGTAAAGTTGGATAAGCAGTCTCATTCCCTTCTGCAACTTCGTAGTAAGCAACAGTTTCTTGAAGGCCACTGGGAATCTGGCCTCCTGGGGCAAAGCTGTACTGGCATTCCTTATTCATACAACGCATCTGACGATGACCACGTCTATAGGAACTTACATAATTTGGAAAATAAAAAGGGCAAGTAAGTTAAAACATGGCAATAACTTGTGTTAGTTTGTTTGGTGCCAGTCCTAGAGCCTGAATTGAGGGCCTGGGCACTGTCCCTCCGGTTTTGTGCTCAAAGCTAGTGCTCTACCAGTTTGAAGCACAGTGCCATTTCCCTTTTTTGGTAGTTAACTAGAAATAAGACATTCAGAGACTTTCCTGCCTGGGTTGGCTTTGAACCGCAATTATCAGATCTCACCCCTCTTACCTGCTAGGATTACAGGGATAAGCTACCAATGCTTGGCTATCTTCATTCTTTTAAGTTACTAGGTTTGAACTCTGAGGCTTAGAGAGCCTGCCAGGATGGTCTTCTTATCAATTAGTCTGTTTTCTGGTTATTTCTGAGATATGGTCTTGATTCCTACCTCAGTGCATAACTGGGCATGATCTGCCTATGTCAGGCTTTTTTGACATGGTTAAGATAACAAATACTACCCCCACTGCATCCAGCTCTACATTGAGAAAGGATTTTGTAAACTTTTCTTACCCAGCTGGCCTTGAATTACAGTTCCCCTAATCTTAAGCAGCTAGGATAACAGGCATGAACCAGCATTGCCCAGCTTCCTTATACTTTCCAAATAATAATTCAAATAAAGTTGATACCTTCAAAAATTAGTCCATATTACATTTTCAACAATAATACCAGACATAGACATTTTTTTCTAACATTGAACACTTCAACTACTTACCGGGATCTATAGGAGATGTTATCATAGTTCTGGAAGCACCTTTTACCTGGGCCAGGGTAAAAACCAACTTTAGGGTTCGGTACACTGTGTCTATCTATAAAGTGAGATGAATCCCTAAAAGTAAAGGGAAAGGAAAAATGGAACTTTTTGATTTTAGTCAACCTCTGTAATTAAACAGATTCAGCATGCCTTTCTGGAAACATCCAGTTAGGAAGAACTTTGCACTGGTATTAGGATTATTCTTGAGTATGGTGGCAAATATCCTAAGGACACTTATTTGATACTATTTTATCTTCAAGTATCTCTTCAACTGTTCAGCATTTCCAAACATAAGAATATAAACTGGCCAATAAATTCTTTTGGTAAGAATTAAGTATATATCAGCTCTAAGCTCTCTTTGGACACAGAATAAAAAAGTGTCTAAATGATTTTTCTTAATTCTATAATTAAGTGCTTTTTCTTAATTCTATAATTCTGTTCAGGAATTATTTGTATAAGATATACACTGTCATGAAAGTCAAAGTCTTACCTGAACATCCCATATCCACGACCATGTCTTTGAGATGAATGTTGAGGATAAAAATATTCACTGGACATAACATTGCCAGCCATCTGTGAGTACTGCAGTGGAGGACCATGTCCATAATGCATTCCATGGTGAAGCCTAGGTGGGAGGATGGGTTCTCCCCTGCCACAGGCCATATTCATATGGACCTCCTTTCCTCGGCCTTTTTTGAAGATCTTCTTCCGCTGCTTTATACTCATCTCTGACATAGCTTTTAAACAATAAACATAGTAAATTTCATAACCAAATGAAAAATCCAGCAGCCCTCTACTTCCACATGTGCCTTAAAGTTTTTAGATGCTTTTTGTAGGAACAAATGAAAGAGATGTAAAGAAGGAAATTGTCACCCACATTACTATGTTCCAGAAAGCTATGTTTAATATCTCTGGTGGTTTTCCTGAGTTTACTTCTTGGTGATTTGAAAAACATTTTCCCTTCAAGTTAGTTTACAGCATAAAATCTACACTAGCTTAAGTTTACACAACCACCTATAACAATTATTCAATCAGGGACATTTTGACATGTTCTTCCTCAGGGTACATCTGGTATGTCCTATTTGATTGTCATAATAGCACCTAGTAGTTAGAAGCCAAGGATCATGATACAATGCACAGGAGAACCCTCCTCTACAACAAAGCATTAGTCATCCCAAAACATCAGTAACATGTAAGCTAAGAAATCACACAAGACATATAATATACATTTACCAAGTACAATGTTGGTATATAAAGGGGGCTACTGAAAGCGAAAAATAAAAACCTTTAGCATACAAACCTATTTCTGGGACATAGCTTCCAGGTATTTTGTGATAACCTCTTCCTTTTCGACTTGGTACAGCATTCCAGGAAGGAACAGATGTCACTTGGGTAACTGGTTTTAAATTAGCCAGTGGAACAACATGCCTTAAAGTTAAATGAGTCACCATGAAGCCACTGCAACAAAGACTTTACTCTCATTCAGTACCCATATCCCCACCACCCCTCATGATTCATTTTCAAGTGCATTTTCTTTAAATCTATTGTTTACTAGCTTCCCTGTTTAGTTTTGTTTGTAAGTTAGAAAATCTAGGAGTACTTTTATAATTTCAGAATTTGTTGTACATACTATCATATGTGGTAGACTGTTACTAGATCATAAAGATTTGTTCCCTCTCCTTAGAACAATCATATCTGCTCCCTACTCCAATGGCTATAGAAACCATTTACTTTGGCCAATAAAAAAATGTGATTTTTAAGGACCAGCAAGTGGTCTGTTATATTTTTTTTCCTCATTGTGATCATGGAAAAATGTATGTAAAGAGGGAACCACTATCAGCCCAGATCTTCCTTTACTGACTCATTATGGACATGCTAAATGAGCAAGAAATTATTATTTTAAACTCCGGAAATGTTTCTGATTGTTAGGTCAACATAGCTCAGTTTAATGTATCTTTTGTGTGCATGGTGGTCCTGGGGCTTAAACTCAGGGCCTGGGCATTGTCATTGAGCTTTTTTGCTCAAGGCTACTGCTCTACTACTTGAGCCACAGCTCTACTTTAAGCTTTTTTGCTACTTAACTAGAGATAAAAGTCTCAAAGCTTTTCTTGCTCAGGCTAGCTTCAAATCTCAGCCTCCTGAGTAGCTAAGATTACAGGCATGGGTCACCAGCTCAGTTTAATGTATCTTAAAGTGTACTACTAACAGCATAACCAATACCTGGAAATTCAATTTATTGAATACATTGAAAACAGTAATTTTGAGACTTCAGAGATCAAGTTTAATCTGTTTTTGACACTGCATATAAATTATAAAGGACTAACGCAGCTTGTTCTGATGCTAGAAAACTCAAACTACCTGTTCAATTACTATGATGGACAGTTTTACACCAATATTCTGTTGTACTTAGTTCTAATAAGTTGACTATTAACTACGATTTGGAAGTTCTTATATGTGATTACTGTATTTAGGCATTGCATTTCAGCAGATGCTTTATAATGTAAAATATTAGGCCAGTAACAGATGTTTCTGATTATTTTAACATTAATACTATGAAAATGCCATAGTGATACAAGACTTTAGTATTTTAACAAATTATGTTCAAAAAAACAAATTATTATGGTCTTACTTTTCTGCCAGTTCTTCAATGAAAACTGTTACTGAATTGTTCTCATTTCCTACTTCTTGAATATGAGCATTATAATATTTTCCATCTAATTTCAAACGAACCTGAAAGGCAACGTATCTAGTCATGTCTACTGACATACCTGGCTTCTCCCAGACAAAAATAATATTTTTTCCCAAGTGAATTTTAATATCTACTATTTTTAAATGACAATACTATCCACAGAGATCAATGAAGAAAGTACATACGGGATGAATCTTACATCTAAATAAATTTCACAAAGGTTTGCAACTAAAATCCAATAAAATACTAAAAACATCTTTTTAACATTTGTACATAAAATCTTGATCAAATTTTTCTTTTTGTAGTATGAGGGATCAAGCTCAGAAGCTTACATATCCTAGTCAAATAGGTTCCACCACTGAGTTATATTTACAATCCAGTTTTTTTGGAAAAGGTCCACTAGATATAGCTCTGGCTGGACTTGAATTCACTATGTGTCTGGCCCAAGCTTGCCTCAGGCTCCTGAGTGCAGGAATTATAGGTGACTACTGTGCCCAACTCATATTGATGACTATAAGCAAAAATTTGGGAAAAAAAAGTTTTGAAAAAGAAGGAACTAACCTGACATTTGTCTCCCAAATAGTACTGTCTCCCGGCATACTCAAGGTAATCCGATTTCTGGAGTTCTAATAAAACAAAAATAAAACTAGATTACAACTGATTTGGATTACTTGCAATTTTCAAACATTTCCTAATCTATGTTTACCATAGTATTTAACAGTGCTATCATTGTAAGGTCATTCTAACATTGTTTAAAATTTTTTTTAATTATTATTATTATTATTATTATTATCAGTTCTGAGGCCTGAACTCTGGGCCTGGGCACTGTCCCTTACTTAGCTCTTCAGCTCAAGGATAGCGCTCTACCACTTGAGCCACAGTGCCACTTCCAGTTTTTTCTGCTTATATGGTGCTTAGGAATCAAACCCAGGGCCTCATGCATGGTAGGCAAGCACTGTACTACTGAGCCACCTTCCCAGCCCCAATTCTAACATTCTTGATGGATTATTCCTGTGGCCAATTTAGAGTAGCTTTGGAGAATAGTTTTGTGTTTTAAAATACAAACAGGTTGAAAACATAGAGTTTGTAAGTAGTCAAATACTAAAGCAGGACCATTTGAAAGTATTATTTACCTTTCTTTAAAAACAACTTATTATGTTATAAACTTAACCTTATTTAACTAACCATGATTAGGCTCACCAAAGTTCAAGAAGCTGAATGTGGAACATTTTTTTAAAGTTTAATTTCATCCATTTCACAGAGATAAATAATTACCTATTTCAATGGTTGACAAATTCTTCTGTAAGGAGCCACATAATAGATATTTTAAATTTCCTGGCCCACACAGACTCTGTCAGAACTACTCAATTTTGCTATAAAACTTCATAAACACTGAGATTTGAGTTTTACATAATTTTCATGTCACAAATACTTCCCTTTAATTTTTTCTATCAACTGAAATATAAAAGCCCATGGACGAAAAACAGGTAATCAGTCATATGTGGCCCACAGGTCTATCTAAATTATTCACCTACTCCTGAAGGGTAATCATAATGCATAACTTTCAGATAGGCTTGTTTCTAGTCACAAAGAGTTCTTGTCTGGAACTCTTAAAGTTATCTATATGTTATGCCCATATAATCTTTGCAAAGTTTAATTCCAGGTAAGCAAAATGTTCAAAAAGATCCCTCCCCACTTCTAAATCTATGTCTCCTCCTTGAGATTTAAAATATAGATTGATAAATACATGCTTAAAATTCCATGCTTATGTCAGTATGTTAGAAACGTCCAAGAAACAGTTTGCAAAATTATCCTGGATTGGTCAGGTATCAAATGGATCACACTGATATTTCATTACCTTTTCTGCTATCCAACCAAACATCAAATTCTACATTACGATAGATTTCTGGATCCAGGGCTTTGAGCACCTTATAGGGGAAGAACAACTTCGGCAGATTTTCTAGAGACTAAAACAAAAATAATCAAGCTACAAATTCACCATTTTCAATTCTTCCTTCTGAAAAATTTATTGTCAAATTTTATTATAATTCCCAAAGGAACTATCTTTCTCCTGCTTCTTAGCCATTCACCATACTAAATATTAACTACAAACTTGAAAACCTGCTTGATTTTATAGGCCTTATATGTATGTTTAACATTTCTCCTCAAGAACCAGTATCAGTACCTAATTTCTTGAAATAACAAAGACACTATATCCTTTAAATAAAGCAATTTTTGTACAAAAAGACTGCTTATAGACTAAATATTGGCCTATTATAATTTTAACTTGAAAAAAGATCTGAAATTTCTTGTCAGATTTTGCATTGAAAAACTCACAATTTCATTAATAGCAATTCAGGAAAATTAGTGCAGTTTTAAACAGGTAGGTATTTAATAAAGGAAAACACGACCACTTCCTATATGCACCTCACAAAATTAGGATGGGTCACCTGACGTTAACTTTTAAATTATCATGTTATTGAGCCAGTAGTATGAAAATTTTTTTTCTTAAAAAAAAAAAAATCAAACCTTTGATTCTTCTGATCCTTGAATACAACCCTCTGGGATATTTTCAACACTGCAGAAGGTACCACACTCTTCAGTCCTAATTAAAAAGATTTAGAACAAAGGGCTTTAAATGAAATAATTATTCACATCTAACAACTATGCAACCACCTAGTGGTAAAGTAGCTCAGATCGAAAATTTTTTTAAAAATTAAGCTTGCACCCCAACATCTGCATTATGCCTTCCTTGTAACTGTGTGCTACAATACAATTACTCAATAGATTATATCTGTATTTTAAGAGCTCCCAAGGGCAAATGCACATTAAGATGGTTCCCATGACCCTGCTTTTACTGTTTACACTCTTGTGTTTTTCCTACTCCAAGAGTTTGCTTCTAATCAATACATTACTTACTTGATTACACTAAGAAAGAATGTAGTACTCATCTTGTTGGTTTCTCTGTCACTAGTAAGAAAACAAACAGCCAAGTTCATTGAGCTAATGTAGAAAAGAAACGAAGGAAATTTCCTTTGATTAACTGCCAGCAAAACACTGAAGCATCAGTATTATAGCTGGAGAAAATAAATGTTGCCAAGAACCAAGAATGGGGAAGCAGGTACTTCCCTAATCAAAGCACCAGGTAAAAACTCAATCCTGACAATACAGTCTCATGAAAGTGTCACAAGATTCAACTAAACCTATTTCCAAATTCCTAAACCACTTAGGCTAACCATAACTGTGTTGTCTTAGATGACAAGTTGGTGCAATATTGTTATGCGGCAGTGGACAACTAAGAAACCTTGCCTTTATACTTCTTTGGTTTGCCTAAACCTGGAGTCCTTCAGATAAGTAATTAAGAGAAGAATGAAGCAACTTTAACCCTGAAACACCATTGCCTTCTACTGTGGTCCTGGATAAGGTTTAAAAAATTTGTTTCTAGGGCTGGGAAGGTGGCTCAGTGGTAGAGCGCTTGCCTTGCATGCAAGAGGCCCTGGGTTCGATTCCTCAGCACCACATAAGCAAAAAGAAAAAAAAAGCCGGAAGTGGCGCTGTGGCTCAAGTGGTAGAGCGCTAGCCTTGAGTTGAAGAGCTGAGGGACAGCGCCCAGGCCTAGAGTTCAGACCCCACAACCGGACCCAAAAAAAAATTTGTTTCTAGCCAAGCTTCAATACTTTATGCCTGTAATCCTAGATAGTCAGGAAGATGAGATCTGAAGCTCATGGTCCAAAAAGCCAGCTATGGCAGAAAAGTTTGAGGCTACTATCTCAAATTAACCATCAAAAATGTTGGACTATAGGCCTGGCTCTCTTGGTAGAGTGCCAGCCAGGAGCACTGTGAAAGCGCAAAGACCCTGAATTGAATCCCCAATGTTGGCATGAAAAAATTCTCCTGTTTTCTTTCTTTTAGGTAACAATGTAAGTATCAGGAAGCTGAAACATGTTTTTCAATGAGAGGGGGCTAGTGGCTGGGTAATGGATAAATGAAAAGGAATGATGGATGAACTTACTCATAATACTCAATAGATAAGGGGAAGTGAGAACCTTGTTGTAACTGGTGAGAGATTGAGAGAAGAGGTGACTGATCAAGGTGCACCAAACAAATAAATGGACGTGTGAAACTGTAACCTCCGTGTATAACTACTTGTACAAAAAATAAAAATGAAAAATTAAACTATCTTCTATCAAAAATTAAAAGTTGCAAGAATATTAAGTTGAATTTCAACTTTCCAAACCTTTCTTCTCAATTTGTTCTTTTTCTCAAATGCTTGTTCCTGTGTTTTCCCACAGCTGTTAAGACCCAACTCAGATCACCTATAGTATAGTAATATATAAGTAATATATAAGATATAAGTAATAGTATAGTAATATATAAGATATAAGTAATATATAAGATATAAGTAATATATAAGATCTCTATTATATGACTAAATAATTTTTTTACCTGTATTTCCTAATTCTACGGGGATAAGCAGCTTTTATTGCTGTCCATTTCTATTTATCTTTAAGGCATCTAGTGTATTTCCCACTCTTCAAAGATTTCTTCATAGTTAATGTTAAAAGAAATTCAATTAATAGAAAAGTCTATTTGTCCCAACTAAGAGTTATTTCATTTCTTCACCTGATCTGACACTGACTACCTTCTGTGAGAATATCTTGTACTTTCTCTCCAAATTTCTAAAAATTCAGGAATATAAAATTTAAAAACATGAATAAAAACCACAAGTCTAAGATGATACTTGATGGCTACAAAAATCTTAGTTTCTAAACAGAGCTAAGAATCAGGAAGAAAATGTAAGATAATACCCATTTCATTATCTAAAAACTCAAAGTTTTCAACTACATCTATTAAATAATGGCAACTGCCCACAGTCTATACTTCTAGTTTGTGAATATACTCAAAAGTTTATAATTACTTTTTAGACAGAGACATCCTATTTGCTAAATGTGTGTGCAAGTTATGCAATCTTAGTTGCCATTTCAAAATAACAATGCTTGTTTTTCTGGGGTTTTATTTAGTTTTGTTTTTTGCAGGTGGCACATGCCAATAATCCCAGCACTCAGGAATCTAAGGCATAAAGTATCATGATGAGTTCAAGGCCAACCTGGACCACGTAGCAAGACACTATAGCAAAGTAACAATAATAAAGGTCTGGTTGCATGGTTCAAGTGCAAAATCAACTGCCTAACAAGTGTGAGACCTTGAGGTTAAACTGTAGTAGCAATAAAAAAGGCAGGTTTATAAACCTACTCTAACAAAAAATCTGACAATAAACCCAGAATCCTAACAAATGCTGAGTAGTTAGTTAATACATAAATAAATAATGAAAGTCATTGGATAGCTCTCAAGTCCCTTCTCACAATATAAAATACACTGTGACTTGAACAGAGCCACCAAAGTCTGAACATTCCACAAGAAAATATCTTTTTGATGGAATTTCTCTCCATTAAAAAAACTTTTATAAACGTACATGTATTATGTGTTTATGTATATGCAATCTATGTTATAGCTTATTAGGCCTCTTCCACTTTCCACTGATAATAAACAAAGACATGAAAAATGATCATCCTGTAGTTGACATCCTTTTCCCTTTATTACCTGTCCTGAGTTGAACTCTTCTGATCAGTATCAGCATTCTCACTTCCAATCACAGCATTGTTTCTATTCTTCCTGGAACCACTTCGAAACAAATTAATTGCAGCTTTCAACACTTCTTCATCCACAATAAATACATCTTTATAGAGAATTTCATACAGTACAGCTGAAGGAATAAAAGGACAAAAACTTCAAATGTCAAAATAAGATTTTTTATGACAATGTAGAACTAGTCATAACTCAAGTATATAAACTCTTTAGATCCTAACAAGTTCTTCAAAGAGTCTTTTTTTTATGCTGAGACCTCCTATTTAAGAACCGTGAACAAGGGGCTGGGAAGGTGGCTCAGTGGTAGAACGCTTGCCTTGCATGCATGAGGCCCTGGGTTCAATTCCTCAGCACCACATAAGCAAAAAGAAAAAAGCCAGAAGTGGCATTGTGGCTCAAGTGGTAGAGCACTAGTCTTGAACTGAAGAGCTGAGGGACAGCGCCCAAGCCCAGAGTTCAGGCCCCATGAACGGACCTCCCCCCCCGAAAAAAAGAACTGTGAACAAGTCATTTGAAATCACACCCAATTATTTATAATGCCTTCACTTACCCTGACAAATGGCTGCACTTGTCTGAAATTGTTTTGAGTACACAGAATCGTAATGACCATTACTTGTATAACAGAGTACAATCTGAAAAGAACAGAAACCTAATATTACATCTAACAGTCATGGAATTAAATTGTTAATCAACAAGTAATAAACTACATGAATTTGTATTTTTTAAATTTTGAATGTAAATATTAGGTATACCTCATAAAGAAATTTTGTTAGTAACATTTCAAAAAATATTATTATTATAAAGGTGTTATATGGAGAGATAAGTTTCATAAGTCTGTTAAAGAGTATATTTCTTTATGGAAAACACCACCCCTTCCCTTTCTCTCTACCAGATATTCCTTCCCATCCCAAACTACAAGTTGTATAATTCATTTTCCACATACTGTCTAGTGTGTTCATGACTTTTTTTTTTCATTTTAACTAATTGCTCTGTTTTTGCTGGTGGTGCTGGGGACTGAACACAGAGCTTGACCTCAAGGCCCAGGCTCTGTCCCTGAACTTTTTCACTCAAGGCTAGCACTCTACCACTTGAGCCACACAACTCCACTTCTGGCTTTTTTGAGCAGTTTATTGTAGACAAGAGTCAAGGACTTTCCTGCCCATCCTGGCTTTGATTCATGATCCTCAGATCTCAGCCTCCTGAGTAGTTAAAACTCCATGTGTGAGCTACTTGCATCTTGCTACATATTGTAATTTCAATATAAACAAATGTATTTTATACCAGTACTGAAGCTTCAACTTAAGGGCCTGGGCACCATCCTTGAGATTTTGTGACCAAGTCTAGTGTTCTACCACTCTAGCTTCAGTTCTCCATGAAGTTTTGAGTGGTTAATTGGAAATAAGAGTCTCACAGACTTTATTGCCTGGGCTTTTGAACTATGATCCTCAAATTTCAACCTCCTGAGTAGCCAGGATTACAGGTTTGAGCCACCAGCACCTGGCCAAATGTATTTTATAAATTCCAAAATCAGGTATTTTATCACTATCCTAAAAGTATTAGCTCTGCATAAAATGTGTACATGATCCTTATACATGGTATTCTTTGATTTACACACCAAAAGATTTCATACTTTTGTATTTTTTTTTTTTTTTGGTCCGGTCGTTGGGCCTGAACTCTGGGCCTGGGCGCTGTCCCTCAGCTCTTCAGCTCAAGGCTAGCGCTCTACCACTTGAGCCACAGCGCCACTTCTGGCTTTTTTCTTATGTGGTGCTGAGGAATCGAACCCAGGGCTTCAGGGCCTCAGGCATGCGAGGCAAGCGCTCTACCACTGAGCCACCTTCCCAGCCCCATACTTCTGTATTTTTATGGTAGAAAACCTATCTAAACTGCAACTATTTAACCATAGGGACTAAGTGTGGCAACTAAGCATATAAATATTTACTATATGATTCATTCAACTTTTCTGTGTAGGAAATTTTTAGAGAAGCTGTAGGTGTGATACAATACCAGCCATGAGGGAAAAAAAAAACCTGTGCAAAAGTAAGCCATCTTGAGTTGAATCACCAGTGTTTGTACAAAAAAAAGAAAAAGAAAAGAAATAGGTCAAAAATTTGAGGAGAGAACCTACAGGTTTAAAAATCTCTAGTAAATATGCAAACATTCAAATTTCATGTCAGTCAATGCTGTATACAACTGCTAACATATAAAGGCCTATACTTTTTCAATTATGATTATGTTGCACTTTGCTTAAACACTGTCAATTCACATTAAGGATTAAGTACGTTGATGTTTGAATTTAAAATAGATCGAAGGTTAGGTGCCAGTTGAGAACTCAAGAAAGTGGTAAACTGCCATTTGAGAAAACAAGCTGAGTACAAACCTCCAAGTTGGAACAAAACCAAACAAAAATAGTTGTTTTTTTTAAAGTAAACACACTATTCTGTGGCACCAATGGGTCATATTGCAATCAAGAGGTTGAGATGTGGAGATTCATAGGTTGAAGCCAGCCTGGCAGAAAAGTTCATGAGATTCCAATTGTCCAGTCAAAAATCTGGGCTGGTAACATGGCTGTAGTGGTAGAATGCTAGCCATGAACAAGAAAACCAAGGGTATGTGAGGCCCTGATACTGGTACTGGAATGAACAAAAAAAGATGTTGAATGTATAGATAATATGGAAAAATGATTAAAAAAAACAAGGACAGCAAGGAGGTACTAAGTTATACACAATACAAAATTCTTGTAAGTTGAATGTTCAAAACTCTTAATATATTGACAAATGCTTCTACTAACTAGTTTTTCAATACCCAGTCAGATTCTTAGGACCAGCTTATTCCACCCCTTATTATTTAATGCTACTCAATTTGTCCAGCTTAAATAGTCCCCAAAGGATCTCTTGCCATTTGAGTAGACTGCCCTTCACATTTAAGACTCATTTTTCTGATTACAAGCAGAAAAGGGCTTTCTCTTTTGCATCCTTTGTACATGCTTGATTATATCATTGTAATTAACTATTTTGATATCTATATAATCAATGCTCTTCATGGTCTGAAAGACAAATATTTTATTATAGCCATTCTGTTATCTTCAAAGTCCAGAAAACTGCTTTTTATATGATAGGGGTTTATTATTAGCTAAAAAATTAAATAGTAGCCATGGTTAAAGGAAGTGTCCCAATTTACAGTTGTCTTCCGTGTTATCTCCTATTCAGTCTTCTCTATTTCTGACACCACTTCCTTAATTCAGGTCTTTTGCCTATGTAAGTTCTCCCAGTCTTGCCTTGCCAATAGAATGGTATATGAATTATGCTACATGGTATGAAGATGAAGAACTTGTCTAATTAAATACATAAGATAGGTATTTTTTTTGCCAGTTATGGGGCCTGAACTCTGGGCCTGGGCACTGTCCCTCCGGTCTTCAGCTCAAGGCTAGCACTCTACCACTTGAACCACAGCACCACTTCCAGTTTTTTCTGCTTATGTGGTGCTGAGGAATCGAACCCAGGGCCTCATGCATGCAAGGCAATCACTCTACCAATAAGCCACATTCCCAGCCCAGAATAGTTATTTTTTAAATTAAAAAAAATTCTTTGTGTAAGAAATACTGTATTTTGAAATACAGTGTAATTGTTTAATATTTTCAAACAATTAAACTACTTTATACTATTTTCCATCTAAGAAATTCACAAGGCGGCAGACAATTGACACTCAATGAAAAAATAAGCAGGTATACAAATGTAAAGTGACAGTGTAATTACACAGAAACTGGTTATGGGGACAAAAAAGGAAGAAGAAAATACCTGTCAGAAGAGTTTGGAGAACATCAAAGAATTGACATTTGGAATGTACACATGTGTACACACACATATTGCAATTTGACATTTGGGATGTACACATGTGTACACACACATATTGTAACTTCTTGGTCACTTTTGCACACTGCCTACATTCAGAATTTGAGCTTTATCCTCTGATCAGTGAGGAGCCAATTAGGCTTTTAGAAATATTGCCTTTTCCAATTACAGAGGAGTAACAAGAATGCAGCTGTTTTGAGAGTCACTATAACTGAGAATGACTGGACAGGTTAGAATGAGAGTATATTGTCACTTAGATCATTTACTTTTTCATTAACTAAATTAAAAAAAAATCCCCCCTAATATCCTTGCAAGCCAGCAGCATCATTCAAATTCTTTTGTTCAACATTCATCCATCTTACCTTATCTTCATAGCCATTTTCTGTGACGCAAGTTGGTGGCTTTCCAGGATTGCGATAAAGAATAAAATCCCGACTACAATGAAAGAATACAAAGGTGGATGTAGAAAGAGGTAACTTAGTATATGAAAGAAATAGCTATATGAACAAGTATATGGGGCTGGAAAGGTGACTCAGTGGTAGAGTGCTTGCTTCACATGCGTGAGGCTCTGGGTTCAATTCTTCAGCACCACATAAGCAGAAAAAGCCGGAAGTGGCACTGTGCTCAAGTGCTAGAGTGCTATCCTTGAGCTGAAGACCTGAGGAACAGTGCCCAGGCCCAGAGTTCAAGCCCCACAAATGGGGTGGTGGGGAACACTAAGAAACTAAAGGTGAATTCAAAGTAAAGAGTTAATTCAAGGTAGAGCAAAAGGATCTATGGATTTTTCTAAATATTTATTTGTGAGCAACATGAAGATTAAGACAAACTAATGTCAAGTACCAGTGGCTCATGCCTATAATCCTACACTCAGGAGGCTGAGAGGTCTAAGGATGGTGGTTTGAAGCCATGATGAGCAGGAAAAGTCCAAGACTCTTATGGTTAACTACCAAAAAACAACCAAAACGAACAAACAAAAAAACATGCCAGAAGTGGAACTGTGTTTCAAGGGGTAGAGTTCTAGCCTTGAGTAAAAAAGCTCAGGGACAACACTCAGGCCCTCTCAGTTCAAGCCCCAAGACCAACACATGCAGGAACATGCATGAACATACATGCATACACATACAGGCATATACACACAAACTAAAATTACATGTATGTGAGTCTGAGAGGCAATAAACAAGTTTTCTGCTAAAAAGCAGAAAATTTTGAGTGAGTGTAAAAGGTCAGACAAGAACCATTCCAATTTCAGCTGTTGCATATCATCTGGATAACACAATTTTGCTTTTACAATGAAAGCAGCACAATGTTTATATGAGTGAGCACAACTGTGTTTCAATAGGCTTCATTTATCAACACTAAAACTTAATTCAACACATTTACAAATACTTTGAAGTATTCCTCATTAGACTTTTTAATCATTTAAAAATAATTCTTAACTAAAAGAACATATACAAAGAGGCATCAAGCCAGTTTCAAAGCTGACTTGTGAATTAAGAGAACTAGGAACAGGTGTGGTGATGTGCACCTGAAATCTCAGCTCTGAGGCTGAGGCATGTGTTCCAGGATAGCCTGGATTATATAGTGACCCAGTCTCAAAAAATATAAATAAGCAAATGAGTAAATAATAACTGATTATATACCTATCTGCTCAATTTCTCATTTATACTTTTTTTTGCTTGTCCTGGGGCTTAAAGTCTGGGCCTGGACACTGTCCCTGAGCTTTTTTTTTTTTGGGGGGTCCGTTCGTGGGGCCTGAACTCTGGGCCTGGGTGCTGTCTCTCAGCTCTTCAGCTCAAGGCTAGCGCTCTACCACTTGAGCCACAGTGCCACTTCCGGCTTTTTTCTTTTTGCTTATGTGGTGTTGAGGAATTGAATCCAGGGCCTCAGGCATGCAAGGCAAGCACTCTACCACTGAGCCACCTTCCCAGCCCCGCTGAGCTTCTTTTGTACTCGTTTTCTAGCTCTCAACCGCTTGAACCATAGTACAAATTCCAGCTTTTTCTGAATAGTTTATTGGAGTTAAGAGTTATCATGGGCTTTCCTGCCTGGGCTTGCTTTGAACCATAGTCCTCAGATCTCAGTCTTTTGAGTAGCTAGGATTGTACGTGTGTGCCACCTGGTGCCCAGCTCATTTAAACTTGTGAGATTTAATAAGAAATGATCAAATCGAAAAACATTGATGAGCAAGTTCTCATAAGAGCTTTCTGATTCTACCAGCTCACCACTCTAAGAGTGTACAAGGAGTCTCATATAGATCATAATTCTTGAGTAAACAAGATTTGCAATATTGTGTAGCTTATATTACACAAGTATTTTTCAAAATCTTATGGTTTTCTTCAATGATATTTTTCCAACTTTAAAGATCAACACAGAATTTCAACAACAAGAGAATGGTAGTCCTATACCTTTTATTCATTACAATTGCCATAAGGAGACTTAATTTCCCCATGGAATTTTAATAGCACAGATGTACCATATTGTCTATTTAGGTAAAAATCCTTTATTTGACATACCATAAACCACAGCAGTACACCAATTTCTTCTTTAGGTGTAATGAGAATTGAACTCTGGGTCTCCTCCTTGCTAGGCAGGAACTCTATAACTTGAGCTTCTATCTCCAGCACCTTTCTGCATTGGTTTTTTGCTTGTTTGTTTTTTGGTTGTGGGGCTTGAACACTGGGCCTGGGCGCTAACCCTAAGCTCTTCAGCTCAAGGGTAGCATGCTTCCACTTGAGCCACAGTGCCACTTCCAGTTTTCTGGTGCTTAATTGGAGGGTCTCATGATTGTTCCCTGCCATGGCTGGCTTTGAACTGCAATCCCTGTACCTCAGCTCCTGAGTAGCTAGGATTACAAGGGTGAGCCACTGGCACCAAGCTGCATTGGTTGTTTTTGCAGAAGGGTGTCACTTTATGCCCAAGCTGACCTAATCTGTGATGATAGAGCGCTAGCCTTGAGCTGAAGAGCTGAGGGACAGCGCCCAGGCCCAGAGTTCAGGCCCCACGACCGGACCCAAAAAAAATAATAATAATAATTGGTGATGACAGGAATTTGCCACTATGCCCAACTATTGTGCTCAGTCTAGAAAGCAGGCACACATTACTGTGTACTGCCACTGGTTTGAGTCTTGCAAACTTTTATGGCTGAGCTGATCTTGAACCAAGACTCCCTGATCTCCATCTCCCAAATTTAAACCATTGCACCCACCATGCAAACCAATTTCTAGCTTGTTAGGAAGGATACTGCCCCACTGAGAAAAACATTGAAAAGCAAATTTAAATATTCAATATTTTTCTAAGATAAATATTGTCATTTCCTATAGGCTATACTAGTATGGCTGGATGTATAAATAGATGATTCAGGAAGGGTCTCACTATGTAGCTCAGTTGGTCTCGTAAACTCACAATCTTTCCATCCTAACTGCTTGAGTACTGGGATTTCAGATTTATAAGTTTGTGTCACCAACATGTCCAACTTCCAGTAGTTTCTAAAGTTATCTTCCCATGCTAACAGACACAATTGATAGAGGTAAGGATATTTATCATTTTGTTTTTTGCCTGGTCCTGGGACTTAAACTCAGGGTCTGGTCACTTTCCCTGAGCCCCTTTGTGCTCAAGGCTAGCGCTCTACCACTTGAACCACAGCACCACTTCTGGCCTTTTCAGAATAGATTATTAGAGATATGAGTGTATCTCATGGACTTTTCTGCCCAGGCTGTCTTTGAACTACAATCTTCAGATCTCAACCTCCTGAGTAGCTAGGATTATAACCACTGGCTATTTATCATCTTTTTACAAGGTTCTCTAACCAAAACTACAATACCTTGCCTTTCTTGACATCTTCACTCTACGTCATCAACATATTAACTCCCCAACGGGACTTTAATATAAATTTTACACATACACTTTCTCAAAGAAAAGAAGATACAACTTACTTATAAATTAGAGAAAGAGCTCGTATTTCCAGCTGGCCAGCACTTTCCTAAACATAAATAGTATACAAGATTGTAAAACCATTTTATTGCTAGGAAGCTTTTTTTACGTTTAACAATTTTAAGCACTGTTTTTTAATACTATCAGATAAAGGATTTGTAGAAGATACCATAATTTGGTTTGAGAATGTAAAAATGACACTTGGTAAATAATTAAAAAATGGACTGAAATTCCTTAACAAATAATATGATATGACAGACTTAAAAGATATGAAAGTAGTACTGGAAGAAGAATAAAAGCAAAGCCGAATATTTAAAAATTTGGTTTTTACCAGAAAATTAAAATCAATTTTATCACATAAAATTATTTTGGGCCACATAAAATATGCCTTACAATTTTACTTACACACAAAAGATAACTACAAGTAGAGCAATTACTCATTATTTAAATGATCGCTTAATGATATTACTACCCTCCTCCCCCATTAAAGTAAAAAGCTGTTTCCCAACACTGTCCTTTTTCCCAAGCATTGATTCTAGTAGTCTATGAATGATGACATTGTTAAAAACCAATTCTCAATATTCAACACTAACACAATAAGCCAATCCTTGTCTTTAACTTTTCAAGGTAACTATTTCACCCAATACAGGCAGCTACTTCAGAAAATATTTGGGGTCTAGTTACAGTGATGAGACATGTTTAAGGTTACTATTCCAAATCACTCTGAAAATATTAAATCCCCATTACTTCATCTTACCTTGGGATCTCCCAACCGTTCCAGGTATTTCTCAAAAGATCCCTCCACATACTTCAAAAATAAAACAAACTTGACTTAACCAAATAAACAAGATTACTGATATCTGATTATAGAGTTTTTTACTCAGGTTAACAATTACTAGTTTGTACAACACCACAAGAGGAGTTCCACATGCACAGAAGTGTTAAGTGGGGGAAAGCTGCACTAGAAATGCACCTGACAGGTTGTTCTACCTTATCTATATTCCAGTGTATTTCATCAAAGAATATGCTCTGAGTTTCTTTTGAAATGCCAGCTTAGGTAAAAATGACAATTTTCATACATCAAGCAAGGTCAATAAACATAAAGATTTCGAATTTGAGAGAAAAAGTATTAAAATTTTAACTGAGAAACTTTTAAAGAAAATTTTGTTTATCTCAGAAAAGCCCCAGGGGCACAAGGGAATTTGAGAGTGATGAAAATGTTCCACATCCTGACTGTGATGGCAACTGCATGATTGTATATGATGGTGAGAACTATATGCTACAACTAAACTGTTCTCTTACTATATGTCAAATACACCTCAATAAAAATGAAATTGCTGGGTGCCAGTGGCTCATACTGCTAATCCTACTCAAGAGGCTGAGATATGAGGATCACAGTTCAATGGGAAGGTGGCTCAGTGGTAGAGTGCTTGCCTTGCATGCATGAGGCCCTGGGTTCGATTCCTCAGCACCACATAAGCAAAAAGAAAAAAGCCGGAAGTGGCGCTGTGGCTCCAGTGGTAGAGCGCTAGCCTTGAGCTGAAGAGCTAAGGGACAGCACCCAGGCCCAGAGTTCAGGCCCCACGACCGGACCCAAAAAAAAAAAAAAAAAAAAACAACAGTCCAGCATGGAAAGCACATGATTCTATCTACAATTAACCACAATTAACGACTACCAGAAGTACTGCTGTGGCTGTGGTAGAGTACCAGTCTTAGGCAAAAAAGCTGAGGAATTGCCAGGTCCTGAGTTCAAGACCCAGGAATAGCACAAAAAAAATTGAATTAAACTCAGGGAACATTTTTAGTTCTATTCATGTACATTATTAAACTCAGGGAACATTTCTAGTTTCATTCATGTACATAACTACAGACTTTAAGATATTCAGTTTAAAATTTTCCTCACTTAGCCCAGTGGCAGTGCTTCACATCTGTAATCCTAGTTACTCAAGAAGTTGAGCTTTGAAGCCAGCCTGGACAGGAAAGCTGTGAGACTCTTATCTCCAATTAATCACAGAAAAATCTGGAAGTGACACTGTGGTTAGAGTGGTAGAGCAAAAATGACATTGGAGAAAGCACCCAAGCCTAGAGTTTGAACCCCAGGACCAGATAAAAGAAATCCTCATATACTTTTGACACCTAATTGACATACAATAAACTGCATAATTCAAACAGTGCAATTTTTTGACTTATGTATGTACCCATGTAACAATCATCAAAATTAACTCCTGTTTTGTGTCTCTATTAACTGATATAACCACTGAGGTGCTTTCTTTCACTACAGAATAGTATTTTCTCTAGAGGTTGTTTTTTTAAAGGACAGTCACATAGTATAAACTTTTGTTAGGGGCATTTAGATTTTCTACCACTCAGCATAATGAGATTTATCCATAACTTCTAATTTCATGTTTGTTTTCAAAATACAATTCAAGAACTGAAACTATGCATCACTTGAGAGCTTGGCAAAAATGCAGAAATCTCATCTGAGGTCTCAACTCAGACCTACTCATTTAGGATCTGTAGTTTACCAAGATCCCCAGGTGATATGAATGTATAAAAATACTTGGTACACGTCTTTACACCATGGTCTTTCATTTGAATGTCATGAACAATGCTTTCCCCAGGTGTGGAAAATATAATCAACTTCAAGACAATAAGCTTTAAAGAATCCTTCATAACATTTTAAAATTCACTGAAACCTGTTGAAAAAAATTAAGAGTAAACTTCAAACAGAAAGCAGACAAATACCACAGTCAACAGAAAGAAACTAATTAGTATTTCAATGGGTAAAAATGTAAAAACTGAAAAGTCACATGAAAAGGCACACATCAAATTTGAACTTGGTAAATTTGTAGCTTCCTTAACTAGAGCACTGAATATCTAGAAGCTGTTTTTCACAAATTCAATCATTAGTGGAACAGTTACAATTACTAGTTTCTCATATTTAAAAAGATGTTAAGTTTCTTTACAATTTTTATGACTCTTCAAATTGGCTGAAAATGATTGCACACATATTAAAATGTGCATTTTAAAGTTGCAGACTTTAAAGGAGAAAAACCTTTTTTGAGTAATTATAATAAAAATAGCAGTCAAAATAACTTTTTAGGGAAGAGAAGTGGGAAATACAAAGATTTTTATCTAGTTGTTTTGTTTCAGATAGGTCTCACTGTAGCCAAGATAGCCCTCACCTGGAACTCTTCCTGCCTTAGTCTTGTAGTGCTTGGCATATGCCACCACACCCAGATTTTTTAAGTTACTGTACAAAACAGCCTAATTCTGGAAGGAAGTGCGGAAGCATGCTAAGTGGGAGGCCAGCTAGAAAATATTTACTATTGAGAAAATAGGAGACAAAAGATAGAGTTTTCATACGTGCTTAAAATTCTTTTTGCACAACTACTTTACCAACAATATGTACCTTAGGGCACATATGCTACTTACAGACTCAAAAGTTTGTTGATTCTCCTTCATATATAAGACGCAAGCCTTCCTGACTTGTAAATGATGGACCTGGCTGCAAAATAACTACAAAAGAAGAGAAAGAGTATCTTACTCTTAAAAATCATCTGAAACAAGCTTTTAAAGATTATGAACTGGATACAATCTTCCCTTCTCTAGAATATATGTGGAAAATAGGGAAAGCAAGTATTCGTACTCTTTAGTGAGATAAGGTGGTATTTTTTTACTCCTTCCCCCTTTCTACTCCTCAAGTGCATACTTATGAAGATTAAGAAAAATTTCTCAAATTTGCTTTAACCCTACATTACAAACTTTAAATAGAAAAGATGGCAACGTACTTGGACTGATCAGCAGTGGCACAGGTTGTTTCAGTTTGCACTAACAAGGAACAACCTCTTTTTATACAGTCCTGGGTGTTTCTCTAAGCAATTCTTTTGCTTTTCTTGCTAGGCTACCAATTTAGTTACAGGACTATGCCACATCTCAAACTCAGAAAGGTGACTATAGCAAGACATATTTCCTCTTGTTTTACCTGCTCTGAAATAGCCCGAAAGAGGCAAGAGGCATCCTTGGCAGTCAGCTTTCGAAACAGCCCTAAACTGCCTAAATATTCATCCATTGATGATTCATTCAAAGACTTCTGGCTGCAGTACTTTTTCCATCCTTTGTGCATCTTGCCACGAGGAAGAATAGAAGAGTAGAATGAAGTAACAGTGGGGCACAACAGTGGGGCAGCGGTGTATCCAGAAAGCAGTTCAAGGTCTAGGCACAAAGGAGCAGTTGGGAGTCAGCAGCGTGGAATCTTGGTACCTCATAGGAGCAGGAAAAGCAGGGGATTGGATTGCTCAAGTCAAGGCAGGAACCTGCAAAAAGAAGAGGAAGAAGCAATGCCCCAGGAATAAGGAACTTTAAAAAAGGAAACACTGCAGGCAGAAGGTACACAACTTTGGAAGAGTGGGACTAATTCAATTAGTACAAGGCTAAGAAAAGTATACATAAGCAGCTGAACTCAGGTCTCAGAGGCAAAGTGGGTTTATAGTTTCACAAGACAAACTGCTGTATGAAGCTGCAATTGCCAGCCTATAAACAATTAGTCTCCCCATGTAATTGTAACCCCTCTGTACAGTATGTTCACAAAAAAAAAAAATTAAATTAAATTAAATAATAAAACAATTAGTCTCAGCCTAGTCCACCTTAAGATCTCTGCCTGGATTTTCAACTAGTTTCTGTAAGTGCCCTGCTCTTTTCATAATTTCAGGAAGTCTGAGGAGAAAATCCTAGTTACTGGGCTTTTGCATTAAAAATATATTTTGTGGGAACTGGAGATGTGACTCAATTGGTACAGCACCACTGTGAGTCAAAAAGCCAAACGAAAGTCAAAGCCCTGAGTTCAAGCCCCTAAAACCAGGGTGCGCGGGCGTGTACATATGCACACACTATTTTTTGCATGGCACCAATGGCTCATTGCCTGTAGTTCTAGCTACTCAGGAAGTTGAGACCTGGAATATCTCAGTTTCATTGTAGGCTACACAGAAAAAAAGTCTGTAAAACTCCATCTCCAACTAATCAGCCAAACCTGGACTGGAGGTGTGGTTTAAGTGGTAGAAGAGCCAGTAGTGAGCAACAAAGCCAAGTGAGAGTGCAAGTTCAAGCCTTAATATTTGCAAAAAAAAAAATTACCTTTGAGTAACATGCACGTATGAAAATCACAATGAAACCATTTTGTACAATATGCATATGCTAATAAAAAGAATATTTTCAAAACCAAGAGGGGACCTCCTTTTAATCTGTGGAGGCAGAGGTCACAGATCAAAGTGCCAAAGCAACTTCATGAATATTTAAGTTATGAGACTCAATCATTATACTCAATCTCATTTAATTCTAGATAACTACCTGCTAGGAGTACAGAAACCAAATCTACTATCTATATTAAGAAACTCTTATTAATTCTTGAAGTATGTCTCCCAACTAGTATAGCACTAATAGGAAAAGAAAAACGTTCATGTGATCTAGTATCTTCTGCTTGCTAACACTATTATCACTTGAGCAATACCTCCAACCTTGCTTTTAGCTGAGAAGTCCACTAAAATTTTCAGCCTGGTTTAACCTCAAAACACAATCTTCCAGATCTCAGCCTCCTAAATAGCTTGCATGACAGGTTTGAGCCACTGGCACTAAGCCAGAAAGTTATCTAAGAAGTAGAAACAATAATAGCTCTGAAAATATCCATACTTTTCAATATGACCCATTCTAGGTGCTGAGGCAAACAACAAAAGAGGTAATGAACACTAGATATGTCATTCAATTCATTATTATAGTACTTAGCCAGAAAAATTGCTGTGGGTTCTAAGAAAATATTATTTCATTCCATTACATAGAACCTTATTTTTACTTAAATTCTAAAATCACATTCCTTATTTCCCTTTGTACAACTACTTAAAGATAGTAACAATATATTCTTAAAAATAAAGGGGAAGAGGGAAAACTAAAAGTAATGGGGGGGGGGTAAATTCAAATGAAGTACATCATATGAATGTATGGACATACCACAATGAAACTTGTACAATTTATGCTAATAAAAATATAAAAGAAAAAATACTTTAAGGGAGATAGATTCACATCACCATACATACATATATAGGTAAAAGCTGAGAAGTTGTAATACTAAGTTGCTTTCAAAATTATTTTACATGTTTGTGGATGCAGTAATAGTCATGACTGCCCCCTACAGGAAAAACATTAGGAAGCACTTACAATTTAGGAATGAAATAAATGTTTGCATGGAAAAAAATCTCGATTTCCTTTACCAGGCTAATTTGAAATTTTCTTTTTTTAAGTAAACATAAAACAGGGGAAGTGTTGCCTTTTGTTAAAGTGATAAGATATACTGTTTGAAAAGATGCATCACCATTTTAAGATCATTAATTCAGACAAAAGTTAATGGTTGTAATTTTAATGTTAATTTTGGCATAATTTACAAAGAAAAACAAATTCTTCATATCTATCACTTTTTAAACTGAAATGAAAGATTCATATACATTTTGAATAAGGAGGAAAGAAACAGAAAATAGGAAACAACTGGAAATAAGATCAGAAAAATTAGGAACTGGACAGCAAAGAGCAGGAAAAATACATGCAATAGAAGCACATAAAGCTACATAAATATGGCCAATTGATTGACAAAAGTACAAAAGAAATTCAACAGACAAAAGTATTTACCACATATATAGAAAGTAACACCTGACCTGTATGTATTTCACACCATTTACAATTGTAACTTAAAATAGGTAAGAGTTAAATGTAAAATACAATCTTTTGAACATACCCTTGGGCTGGCTGGCTGGCTCCCAAGAGGGGAGAAGGAAACAAGATGTCAAGGACACTCTCTGTATACCTTATCCTACTGGACATTTTGAGTTGTAAACCAGAACTTACTTGACCAGTTTAGGCAAATTTGTTAACTATAGCACAAAAAAAAATTGGAATCCATCAAAATTAAAATCTTTTGGACTCTATCAAAATTAAAATCTTTTGCTCTGTAAATGACATTTTCACAAACCAGAGGGAAATATTTATATAACATGTAGCTAACAAAAAATTGAATACTGAAAACATCTAAAAACTCTCTGAGGGCTGGGAAGGTGGCTCAGTGGTAGAGTGCTTGCATTGAATGCATGAGGCCCTGGGTTCGATTCCTCAGCACCACATAAGCAGAAAAAGCCACAAGAGGCACTGTGGCTCAAGTGGTAGAGCGCTTGTTTTGAACTGAAGAGCTGAGGAACAGCACCCAGACCCAGAGTTCAGGCCTCATGACAGACCAAAAAAAAAAAAACCAAATAAACAAAAACAAACAAACCAAAAAAACCGAACAAACCTCTCTGGTGCTACAGATGTAGTTCTTTGGTAAAAGCACTGACTGAGCATGCAAAAGGCTCTGAGTTTAATCCCCAAACCAAAAGGGAAAAAAGACAACAAAAACTATAAAAGTTAATAAAAACAAAACAATGCAATTCAACCTCTTACAGAAAAGATACAGGAATTCTTAAAAAACTCATAAAAACATGTTCATTGTTCACTAGGAAAATGCATGAGACATCATTTACACACCTACTACGATGACTGTAATAGTTTAACAAGTATGTGGGGATCTTACCCTCAACTTAAAGAAAGTGCATGATCCCAAAAGATATAACCTCTTAAATGAATTATGTTGAAAGGACAAACCTATGGAAATAGCAGATTAATAGTTATTTGGGGCTGTAGTGGGTATAAGCACTGAAACAAGGAAATAAAATGGTTATTTTTGTAATGATAAAAATCTTTAACAACATATTTACTTAAAAAAACCATTGAATTCTTAAAAGTGAAGCATAACAGCTTTAAGATACCTACAAGTATCAACTTAAAGTAAACAATTTGGTGATTCTTTAAAAATACATTCAAAGTTGGGCATCCATCATCAAAATTAATTTTTCATCAAAATGAAACCTTGCATTCTATAGCCATCAATCACTAATCCTCCTATTTTCACTAATCATGGGCAGCAATTAATATACTTTCTGATATAGGTATTTACCTACTGTGGACATGTCAAATAATTATCCAATATGTAGCCCTTTGTGGTTGGCAACTTTCACCTAGAAAAAGGTTTTTAAGTTCACCCATGTTGTAGAACACACCAGTATTAAAATCCATTATATTAAAATCCATTATATAATTAAGCCACTATTCATCAATTAAAATTTTGAAATATTTCTGTTTAGGGCTATTAATATTGCTATAAGCATTAATATAGTAAAATGTATGTAAAATATACCATTTTTTACTTGAATATATTTTTCCAATTCTCTTTGGTATATATTAAGTTGCTAGATTATATGGTAATTCTATAAGCATTTGCCAAACTCTTCCACAGCAGAGGCACTATTTTAACATTTTCACCAGCAGTATATGAAGGTTTTAATTTCTCTACTTCTAATCAAAATTGTTTTTCATCTTTTAATTATAGCCATCCAAGTGGAATTTCACTATAATTCTGATTTTCATTTCCCTAATAAAGTTCAGCATTCCAATGTGTACATCAACCATATTATCTTTTTGTTAGTTTTGGGAATCAAATCCAGGGTCTTGTGCATGCTAGACATATGTTCTACCATAAATTTATATCTGAACTATATACCCCCACTCCCAATGTTTTGTATATCTTTACTGAGATAGCATGACATAAATTTTAGAATAACTAACTGGCAATACAAGTTGTTCACCAGATATGAAACAACTGGAACACATGCTGATATACTGGAATAGTATAGCCAGTCTGATTTTCCTATAAAAATCAGTTTCTACTTGACCTAGTAACCCCACTTGTAGGTATCTACTCAGGAGAAATGTACACACTCAAAAAAACCCTACATGTGAAATTTCTAGCAGCTTTATTGATAGTCATGATCACTTCAAAACTAGAAAGAATCTAAACATACTTCAATATTAAATGCACAAGCTGTAGCAACAAAAAAGGGATAATATCTAACTAAAATACCTTGACAAAACAAAAGAAACAAACACCCCACAAATGAGGAGAAATATTTTGTGCTACATATCTCAGTAACAATATCACATATATATGTATGTATGTATGTATGTATGTATATATATATATATATAGAGAGAGAGAGAGAGAGAGAGAGAGAGACACCATAGAACTCAATAGTAATCCAACCCTATTAAAAATGGGCATAAGAACTAAACAAGTATCTCTCAAAAGACAAAAATGGCAAACTG